TAGGCACTGCAGCTGATTATTTTCTGGTTTGAAAATGAGGGTGGCAAATTTCCTCCAGTTTAATGTAACATAAATAAACTTAAAACAGCTAAGCTAAAACCCCATACATTCTGTTCATTTTTTAGAGAACTTTAAGAAGCACAGTAAGAGGAAAACCTCAGATTTTTATTTTGAAGCAATGACAGTATTGCTTCAAATGAGTTTTTCAAATGAATATTAGAAAATTGTATATGAAGGGTTTCAGATGGTGGCATGAGCACAGGAAGAATCTTATGCACTCCTCCAGCCCCTGATTAATACTTCCTTTTCCCCATGCCCCTGCAATAGAAGCCCCTCAGCAGTGTGACATAATGTTCTCTGGTTTAAACATCAGTTGACACTGCATGGCGCAGGGGGCAAGAGCATGCTTAGAGGAAGAAGGCACTGAATTAAAGAGAAAATACAACTATATTAGACATGATAGTAAAAGTTTTTATACAAGAACTTCTGGCTTTTTCTGTGTCATTTTTGCTAAAATATACATAGGTAACTGTGCACTTAAAGCAGCTCCACCCCTAACTTACTGCTTTCAGGTTTAACTCTCTGAGAGAGACTTATAACTTCCCATTTCCTTATCCTTAGGTCCTAGAATAACCTTGCTGTGGGGAACAGGACACTAAAAGCTTCTTCCAAAATCTCTAGGAGAAACAAAAACCAAAATTATATTTGTTTGGAGAATCAGAAGACTACCTACTGACATATGTCATTCTTTAAGCTGCCTAATAGTCTTTAAACTAAGTCATCAGACAGTGGTACAGCTATGAATGTCCTCTGGGAATGTAATACCTAGTTCAAATAAAATTCCTCATTTAGATTTGTTTTACAATGAACAAAACATCCTATCAGTAAACAGTAAACTTTAAGAGAGAATGAGCTATTCCTATTCCACAGGCCTTTCTGCAGCAAGTAACTCAAATGTAAGCAGCAAGAGTCACTTCGAGGGAGAAGGCTCTCATAACCAATACACTTAAAATGCAAATTAAAGTCAACATGAGAAAGTAACAGCTTCAAAAATTAAGGAATATACAGATCCAGACCTCTTTAAAATGCTCAAGGAATTCTTAAATACTATAATTACAGCTTTCAGTTTGGCTCAAAGGACTTGTTACAAATTTTAATCAACTTTTAAAAAATACGTATGTTCTGCTCAATAACCATGGGTGTTACTCACTGTTTAACACATTTTCCCTAAGTTTGGTAAAGATTACTGTATGTTGATTTTTGAAAGAATTAAAACCCTTTAAGAAGCAAATGAATGTAGCAAAAAGGTTGAGAGGAAAATAACCTCTGAATAGGTAGGGCTGAAAAACTCATGTGCCAAATAAGTCAGAGATATGCAGTTTTTTAAAAAACACTTGTTTAAACCATTCCATTTTATTAAAAAGGAGATATAAATGACTTCAGTAAAGAACAGTTTTAGGCACCTCCCTTCGTAACCTATCCCTCTTAGACAAAACTTGAGTAGGTAGCTTTTTCTACTTTCTATATAACTTTAATAAACTTTCATCCTACTAGAAACGTAAAAAATCAGTATATTATCAGTTATTACCAAATTCAAGTGGGAATTTTATCAAAGATAACTATTAAAGGTAGTATTAAACAAGACAACAAAATCAGAAAATATAAAGCTTTAGAAAATCTTACCCATCATCCAAAATGATGGAATGAAAAGAAGTCTAATTAAACAGGGCAACATATAAAGAATATCCCTTTGCCACTGTTAGTGCAGCAGGTAAAAAACTGAAATTTGGGTGATTTTAAACTATTATGTCTAGACACTCTTCCTATCCACTCTCTATTTTCAGTTTTAACCATAAGAGAAATATCATGATATTTGGAAAAAATGATTTACAATTTAGTCAATAAACAAAAGAGGACAATTTAGCAAACCTCAACTTATTTATAAAAGGGGGGAAATAAACTAATTTAAGAAACCCTTTCTAGCATCCTCAATAGATTATTTCAATTTTTAGAAAACTATAAAGGACTGTATATTTTTAAAGCTTCAGTGTAAGAACTAAATAATAGGTAGTGATGACATTTAAAAAGTATAGAGAAAAGAAGACAAGATTGTAAATGCTTTTCCCTCAGGCCCTAGGGCTACCTTATGTAACTAAACATATTAGAAGAGCCAAAGTAAACCCAAGAAACACAAAATGAGTTTCTATGTAACTACTTAAACACTGTCTTCTCTCCCATTTACTCTTCAAAACATGAGTTTCTTGCTTGGTGTCTGCTTGCTTCTATGGATACTGCACAGTCCACTCCTGTGAATGCTTCGTACTAGATGCTTAATGCTAACGGATTCCATGCCTTAAAGCAGAATGTCGCAACCTGATTTCCACCACTCATAAATTCCTGTGATTAGTAACTGCACGGAAAAGGCCACCCAATCAAAAAGGTAAACATATTCCGAGTAGGCATTACTGAGTAATATTGTTTAGGCTGCTAGCTGAACCAGTCATTCCATTTTCACTTTTCTGAAGTGTTCTCACAGCACTTGGAACCTGCATCCCAGTATTCAAAGAAAGTCCACCACACCAAACCTAAGAAAAGACAAAACAAATCTTCAGTCAGATTTCAAATCAAATTAAAACCTGAAGGATCCTTATAGTTCCACTTGAAAGGCAAATATGTGAACATCATCAAATTCCAAACTGGTAACCTTCAGACCTGAACTGAGGGTAAGTGAAAAGGCTAACTCAAGAGTCTTTTAGACAGAGGCCAAAGGAAGTCTTTGTGACAGCAGAATCCAATGGAGCTGCACGGAAGAGAGGGAACTAAGAGCTGTAGAACTTCAGAGATTTAATTGGATCAATCGAGGCAAAAAGATGCTATCACTACTGACGCTAATCTTCACAACCAAGAGAACTGCACAGAGCCTACTTCCTTACCCCAACTACTGCTTTAGATTTTGATAATGAGGTGTGGCCTGAGACTACAGGAATCTAACACCTCTCTGTTAACAGAGTAACTCTATTCGTTTCTTCCTTAATTGTTAACTGAAGAACTCTTATCATTTTTAAGGTCTTCTGAGAAAAATGCAAATGGCGATATCCAGATACACTTGTCATATTCTATTGTCATAAATGTGAATGAGTTTATGAATGATAAAACTGCTTTATTTGTGAACAGAGCAGCTATCACTCAGTAAACAGTAACTGATTTAGAATAGGATCAAGAGAATTAAAATCTGAAAATATGAATCATTTAAACTATCATCAACTGCCATGTATGTAGCCAACATAAGCTTAAGGCAAAGGAGATTCTAGAATTGTTTATGTATTCTCACTTTTATCTATATCATAAAGTATTCAATATATACTAAAAAACTACAGTATTGTTATAAAGAATTTGCTGCTCTGTGAAATTTATAACTAATTAATATTAAAAAAATTTTAAATTAGAAGGTTCAGTAATAACTCTTAAAATATAAAAGCAACTCTCTGATTATAAACCTACTGTATTATTTTATTGAAATTTATTTAAGTGATCTACAAAAAATATGTACTCAAAATATCTAGCACAAAGGTGCAAGGGCAAATCAATGGAGAAAGGTAAGTCTTTTTCAATAAGCAGCACTGAACACTTGGATAGCTATATGCAAAAAAAACAGATCTTAAACCATACTCCCTATATATAAAAATTAACTCAAAATGGATCCCAGACCTGAATGTAAAACCTAAAATTATAAAACTTCAAGAAGAAAACGAAAGAAAATATCTTTGTGAACTTAAGTTAGGCAAAGCATGATCCATAAAGAAAGAAAAAAAATCTATAAACCAGCTTCATCAAAATGAAACACTTCTCTCTGAAATTCCAGAAAATGAAAAAAATCAGAGACTGGGAGAAAATATTTGCAAAACATTTATCTGATAAAGGACTCATAGCCAGAATACATAAAGATATCTCAAACTCACTAGTAAGAAAACAAGTAACCCAACAAAAAAATGAGAAAAAGATTTTAACAGATAACTTCTCCAAAGAAATTATACAAATGGCAAATAAGCACATGAAAAAAATGCTCAACATCATTTGTCTTTAGGAAAATGCAGATTAAAACTAAAATGAAATGCCATTACATACCTACTAAAATGGCTTAACAACAACTACAAAAAAATCTGAGAACATCAAATAATGGCAAGGATGTGAACTCTTATATATTACTAGTAGGAATGTAAAAGGGGTATACTGGCTGGCCACTTTGGAAAACATTTTGGTAACTTCTTATAAAGTTAAACATACACTTTCAATGTGATGTAGCAACCTCACTCTGAGGTATTCACCCAAGAGAAATGAAAACAAACAGTCACACAAAAACTCCTTTTTTCCTAATTGCAAAAAAATGGAAAGAACCCCAAATGTCCTTCAATTGATGAATGGATGAATAATGTGTGGTAAATACACATATGGAATATTACTCGGCAATAAAAAAGAAGGGACTACTGACAAACACAAAAACATGGGTGAATTTCAAATGTATTATGCTACGGAATCAAAAGTCTGTGTACCATACAACTCCTTTTCTATGATATTCTGGAAAAGGCAAAAACTATAGGGACTAAAAACTAGTTAGTGGTTGCTAGGGCTGGGTGTGATAGGAAAGGTCCACTACAAAGCAGCATGAAGGAATGGAAATGTTCTATGTCTCGATTATGGTGGTGGTTATACAGTTGCATGCGTTTGTCAAATCCCACAGAATGGTACACTACTGTAAATTACGCTACAGTAAAACTTACTTTAAAAAAGAAAATCCTGTACACAAAAAATTTAAGTCATTCATTTAGTTAATAAAAAATAATAAAAGCAAGCCTTCAATGAAGGAAAAAAACCCCAAATTTAACCAGTTGGGAAAAAAGTCTCCTAAAGCATCTTATGATATTTACTAATGTAATTATAGTTTGATTATTTGGAATGAAAAAACAATGAATAAACTCACTATATATCTTCCTGCGATAGACTCAAATTAAACATGAAATTTACCCGTTTAGAAAGCATATCTGAGAGACTTAGGGGAAAAAATAGTTTTGAATTCCACATGGTAAAAATAATGTCCTTGATTGACCACAGCCAAAAATAAATCATATATAGAGGTATGTAGCAAAGTAAAAAAGAAAATAACCTTTCCAATATTGCTGTTTTTATTCTATGAACAATAACTTCATTCACTAATCACTTTTACTATTTAATGAGAAAGTAGGAGTCTTGGTTATTAGCACTGTTTTAAACTTATTTTAAGAAAAAAACGTGACAATGAATATATGTATGTTCATGTATGACTGAGAAATTGTGCTCTACACTGGAATTGGACACATTGTAAAATGATTATAAATCAATAAAAAATGTTAAAAAAAGATTATATGGGTAAATAATCATGATCAATTGTGAGATTTAAAAGTACTATATTTTAAAACCACATATACCCTGAATACTTTATCCTCACAGTTGAGGAGTTAAAGTTGGGAGTCACGATGGTAGAACACATATAAAACATTCTACCAAGTCTGCAATGGAAAGCTACCATCCAGTTCTGCAGAAGCAGCCCTCAAATTAAGGAAAGTTCTAGCCAGAATAATGATGATCTTAACTGGACTGCAGAACTCCCTACAGTGGCCTAATCTTACAGAGAAATGAAAAAGATAAAGGAGTTAGGAGAAGTAGTAATGTTTCCTTAATAAAAACATAAGTGCAAAACAAAGTTTCATTTTGTGTGGAGAATCATGACTTTTTCTTATATAAGTCCACCTGAAATTGAGTAGGCCTGCAATTATATATGTGTGTATAGACAAACATACTCAGTCTACCACACATAGTCATCTAATATCTTACAAAAACTGCACTGCAATGGAAAAAAGATGATCTTCTCAATAATGGTCCTGGAACAAGCAGGTGTCCATATGGAATTAAAGAATGCATCTTGACCCCAATATCATACCAAACATACCAATTCTATACTTGCATTGTAAATGCAGTCTATGTCTAAATGTGTAAGGAAAAGAAAGCTTTTAGAAGAAAACACAAGAATATTTTCATGACCTTGGGGGTGAGTAAAGATTTTTTTAAACAGAACAAAAAAGAGCTAATCATAAATGAAAAAGCTGATAAACTGAGCAACATTAAAATTAACAACTTTTGTTCATTGAAAGACACCAACAAGAGAGGGGAAAGGAAAGCCAGAGTGGAAAAGACATCTGCAATACATGTATCTGGCAAATACATGTATTTCAGACTACAGAGAGAACATTATATCAATCAATAAGAAATAGGAAGAGAATCCAATAGAAACCCAGGCAAAAGACTTGAACAAGTATTTCACAAGAGTATATCCAAACAGTCAATCAACATACTAAAAGGTGTTCAGTAGCACTAACCACCAAGGAAATGCAAATGAAAACCACAATGTAATATCTCATACTCATTAGAAGGACTAAAATTTTTATAAAGACAGTATCAAGTGTTGATAAAGATGTGGAAGAATTCAAACTCTCACATACTGCTGGTGGTAATTAGTATAACAGATGTCTTTGGAAAACTCTACTACAGTTGATTACACATATACCATATGATCTAGCAATCACAACCCTAATTATATATCAAATGGATATATATACACATATATTCACCAAAAGACATTAACAAAATGTGGAAGTTCGATTTGTAAATGTCCTCAATGAGAAACCACCCAAGTATCGAAATAAATAAGAATGGGCAAATAAATTATGATATAGTCATATAATGGAAAACTATACATATACATGTAGTGGAAAACTATATGAGAATGAATGAACTACCACCACGTAGAAACACATGGATAAATCTCACAAACATAATGTTGAGCCAAAAAGATAAATGATTTCATTTATACAAAGTTGAAAAGGAGGCAAATAAATTTATGGTATTAAAACTCAAGGTAAGTACCCACTTTGGTGGAGGGCCATCAGGGGCTGGAAATGGGCACAATGAATGCTCCATTTCTTGATTTAGATGTCTGTTACAAAAATGAGCGCAGTCCTTTGAAGATTAATCAAACGACACGCTTACGATTTGCTGACTTCTGTATCTTAACACTTACTTCAGTAAAATATACCAAGAACATACAGACAATCACCGATTTGGGAGAGGTGGATTGGAGAAAGGGTGAGGGGTAGGAAGGAAAATGATACTGTGCTTCCCCAGATATACAGCATACATTGTTCTCCTTAAAGCTGCCAAACCAAATAAAACATAAATTAGGTACTAACCATGAAGCCAGGTAGTACTGGCTGTGTAAATTTTGTCTTAAAGGAATACAACAACTGTTTTGAGTTTGCATCATAGAAAGAAAGTTGACCTAAAAGGAAGGAGAAAAAAAAGCCTGATTTATTATTCAAAAAATTTTAATATCTAATTAAGTCTAACATATAATCATGCATGAAAGTAATAACTAAACACATATTTTGGCATTAATTTTTTTTGGCACTATGAGGACTGGACTTAGTAATTCTCACTTGAAAATCAGTAGTAAACATGCTTAAGAAAAAGCCCAAATCCAGTTTTCCTCCCCTGTTTTTCAAGATCTCTATAATGCTTCCATTATGTGGCTATTATTCTGCTTATTCAACTATGGACTATTTCTTTATTTTATCTTTATTTAACAAATGGCTTCCATAGCCCAGTAAAAACCAAGGCAATTTCTTCCTCATTTGTACTATAACCAGCCTCTCCACCCAAATCCTATCACCATTTAAGGTTTACTCTATTAAACCTTGTCTTCCAACTACTTGAAGCCATACTCCCACCTGAATCTCTGAAATCATGGTATGGTTATCACTGCTTCAGTTTTGTTAATTTGTCAAATCTCACAGTCCATCTTTCAATAATGATCATGCAACCAAAATCACTCTTTATTTCTGACCACCTAACTCTCCAACCGGATGGCCTCCTTACAATTGTTATCACTCCTTGAAACCCTTCGCATGACTATTCTGTTGGTTTGTTTCCTAACCCTGAGGATATCTTCTGTCCCTTTTTCTCCTATTCTAAATGTAGATGCTTATCTAGGCTCCTTTCTCTCTACAATGTTCCCTTAGTAAATCTGGTGCCAAACAGAGAAGAAAAGAAACTAACATTTATGCCTACTATTAAAGAATTGGGTGATTTATATATAATTACTTCAAAATACCAAGCAGTCTGTATGTGGTCACAAAGTAAACAGCAAAGCAGTAATGTTTAATTGTTCTGTGCAATATTCAGTAGCCCCTCTGTGATGCCATTTCTAATATTTAGCTTCAGCTAAATAATGCCACATGGCCGTCCTGCTGGCACCCCATCTTTCCCCAGGACTCTCTATGTTCCCTATCCTGCTGAGGACACTATCACCCTCTTGATCACACTGGATGGAACTTGAATCATCTTCAGTTCTTCTGTCTCTCCCTCTAATCCATATTTAATTATTGAGTCCCATGAATTCTACTTTCATACCACCAAATCCACTCTTCTTGATTCCTCACTGCTCAGCTCCCTCTTACCACTAATCATTCAACAAACACTTATTATAATAAAACACTTCTTTACACTATGTAAAGCACCTGTCAGGCAATAAGGACATAAAATACTTAACAAAACAGACATGGTCCTTCCTACACTGCTTAAAAGCCACCTCCCTGAAAAGTCTTCCCTTATCCCATGTTTGCAATCTCTTCCACATTTAACCATTTACTCTCTAATATTTCTAAAACCAGATTATCATATGACTACAGTTTTCTAAAATGTACAGAAGCCCCTTCCCTCAACAATAAAAAAAAGATTAGCCTATCATTATTTTTCAAGGCCCTCAGAATCTGATCCCACCCTACATTACAACTTCTTCCCGTGCCCTGTGCTCTAGGTTAACAACCACACTTCTTACTACTATCTGTAAGGAACCACAAAGAATGGGAAAAGACATAGAAGAAGATAAGCAAACCCTATCTTGGTAGTTGAAAAAGAAAAATAAAATATATGCCAATAAATGTACTATTTATCCTGAGGAAAATTATTTATCTGATTCAAAGTTAGCAAGTAGAAAAGACTATAGTAAAACTGACATGCTATCACTAAAAATTAATCAAACCAAAATCAATTTTTTTTCCTTTTTTGTTTGAGTAACTAGGCTGATACCTCATGGAATTATTTGGACACGACGTTACTTAAAATGGTAAAATGTGGTATTATTAGCTTTAATTGACAACTTGGACAGAAGCATCTAGGGAATTACTTTTGTTCTCTCGTTCAACAGTACGTCATCTTCAAAATTTTTATAAATATTTAGATGACAGTAGAGAAGATACTTATCAAATATACTCAAAAAGCTTAAAGAAATTTCCCAAAGGCAAGCATCAAGCTAATATTTAGATGATCTTAACAGGAGGGAAAGATTGGCCAAACCCATTTAGATGAAACTTAAGGACAAATATAATATTCTTCATTTGAGTTACAGACAACAAAAAACACCCCTACACTGCCTAGTGTAAGGGGGAAAAGATAATGCGACAGGACTCCATGGGAAAAGGTCCAGGGAACTGGGTGGCGGCAAGCTCAATACTGACCTACAGTGCTGTTAAGTCATGTTATTAGACATTATGCCACCAAGTCACTAACCTATGATGGTCAGAAGCTGTGTGTTCTAACTGGAGAACCCATATTTAAGATACATATAGACATAGTACACAACCATAGGAGATTATAAGGGTTTAGAAAAGTTAAATTATAAGAGGAACAGCTAATGGTATGCAGAATGTACAGTCTAGAAAAACAGGGTAAGAGAAGCACTGTTAGTAGTTTTTAAACAAATAAGGATTATCATGTTAAATGTGAATTAGGGAACAAAAGCCTGTGTTTCTTCAGATGATAAAATTAAAAAGCAACTGCCTCAGAAGTTATTGGCAGCCAAAGTGAGCTGATTTAAGAAAAGCCTTCTAATCAAGTGTTATCCCACAATGCAACAGGCCGCCTTCTAAGACAATTAGCTTCACATAGAAAAGTTCACGCACAGGAGTGGCAACTACTTGCAGAGATAATAAATGTAATAAGGATTTTATACTGTGTGGAAAAGGCAAATTTCTAAGGTCTATTTCAACTTTAAAAAAAATCTGTCTCCATCACTCTTGACAGGTAATAAAACAAGGGAAGGGAGGAATTAAAATGGGCAAGAAAATATTTTAATGCAAAAATCTTATTTTCAGACTGACTTAGTATGTTATAGATGAATGCTTTTGTGGGCCTATAGGCAGACATGGTACACCCTTCCAGTGAATTCCAGAGCTGAAATTATGTTTGTGATCACCTTTACCACACCTTACCACAATACTAAGGGAAATTCTGTACAGATGATTACTAATGAAAAGTACTGAGATACACGTAACTATGATGAAATGACATGAGAAAATCAGTAAACTTACCTCCATCAAAATCACAAAATACACCTATTCTTTCAGGAACAGCAACATCCAAAGATTTGACTTTATTATTATGCTTTGCCGCAAATGTGTTTTGTAGCCAGTTATTGACATGGATACACCAACTAGTGTTTGTCTTCCCTAACTGGTCAAATTTCCCCAAAGTCTTGTATGCTACTCCCACACTGTAGGATTTACAATCCTTCTGGGCCTTGACCTCCCAATAATGTTGTCCACTTTCAATAGCCGTGTCTCCTATGAAAGATCAGAAAGGTACATTTGACTCTTACCTCCTCTTTATGAGTCACAGAGTTTTATCTATGTCTCATCCCACAAAATGGCACCAAAACAAAAAAAACCTCATTCAGGAGAATACTCATATTAACACACAGCACACAGACACTAGATGCAAAGTACCTGCTATAACTTGTATATTTACTGCTAACTTTTCTGAATACACAAGTCATCAGAACTTTTCTCCCTTACTATCTCCACAAGAGTTATAAATGAGAAGCACTATGTAAACTGAAGTAGAATTTCAAACATATCAGTAAGACAGTTTGAAAACCAACCGAAGTAATTAGGCTGCAAGAGGGAGAAATTCTGGCCCCAAATCATTCAATACACAGGCAGCCACTCTGCCTCTGAGGGGAAAGCCCACCAGTGTGATTGCGACACTTTTGACCTGAGATAATGAAGAACGGCTCCACTTCTCCTACCTAGCACTGTGTACGACTCCCCAGTAAAACGGTCTCTGCTGCCCCGTCCTGCTGGAGGCCTGGAGCCCGTGGACGTCCGCTTAGGGGATGGTGTACCACTTCTATACAGACAGGAATGAAACAAAAACAAAGATTCTATGTTGTACATGTTTCATAAACTGAAATTACAAATCACAAAAGGAATCTTTGAAAAGATTTCTAATTATGCTGCACAAATAGCAACACTTAATTTTATCTGAATTCTTTATTATTAAACAGTTGTCAATTACAAAACTCAAATGTAAGAAGTCATCAACATAAAGCAGGCTGAAAACACTGGTATCATGCAGACTGAGCAAGGCTTATACAAAAAACACACACAGCTGAAATATGAAACAATGCCAAAAGTGAGACAAGACAAAAGGGGGGGAAGGGGAAGAACCCAAGGGGGGTAAAAAAAGAACTCAAGAAAAATAATGGATTATAGCTTAAATTCCTTGCAGTTAAATTTAAATTAAAAGCAAAGGCAAAAATAGACTTACTATAATCAAAACTAAATAACCTCTTTTATAAGCAGTAGGTATTTTTGTTCTGTTATCTCTTCTTCTTAAAATGAAAGATAGCATTTACCCAAATCCATGCACAGAATAATATCAAGTATTATAAAGTACTTCTACTAAAATGGACAAGATCCAACCTGACTTTCCTTTATCAAATTCCATGATATGATAAACCAGATAATATTAGGCCTTTCACTAACTCCCAAAAACTCAAAATAAATCAAATCCCAAAGATATTTTTAAAATGACATTTCAATTATACTGAATCACTCACTGCATTCATAAAACAAAAAAAATGTAACTTACCAGTAGTAAAGAAATAAAGGGAAAGCGTGACAAAAAGAAAAACAGATATAACTATTGAGAATGGCAGCTTAAATTTCAGAGAAGGTAAATAAGGAGAACTCCTCCACTGCAGCATTCTAGACTTCCAACCCTAAGTACATTTTTTCAGGAAGTACAACAGCTATTATTGTCTTATGACAAACACGATCCCACCCTCCCCCTCCCCCCGCCCTCTGAAGACACCCTGGTCACTCAACTGTCTGAATTACGGCTCTTCGTTACCTCTACTCTGGATTGCTTCACCAGCTTCCCAGATGATCTCTTTGCTGCCCAGTTCATCTGTTCAGTGTTACCAGGTAAACCTAACTCTGATTCTCCCACTTTACAATCTTCAGGTTCTTCCTCATTGCCCACAAATAAGCTAGCCTGGCATTTCAGGTTCTTCTTGATTTGGTCCCACTCGGCTTTTCTAGCCTTCTCACCTCTGGAGAGCACTATCCAGCCAAATGTAGCAGCTCAAATGTTCCTTAAACCCAGGCAACTTGTTTCAGCGCCTTTTCCTTTTGTTGCTCCCTCTCTCACTGCAAATGCTGTGCATTCCTCCATTTACTTGAGAATCAGCCTAAATACCATCCCATTAATGAAGGTCTTCCAGATCCTATTAGGCTAAGTAACTCTTCTGAAGAGTCCAGCTCCACACCAAAATCCTATGTGTGATCTTTCAGGCCCAACCAGAAGTAGTTACAAATGCTTGCTTTCTCCACACCAGACCTGGTGCACAGCTAGTTCACTGCAGTTTTTGGAGGGAGTTGCAATCACCGCTATAGCCCCAAGTTCATATGCGTATCTCCATTCCTAGACTAGGCATCTCTATTCAGGGGCCCCCTTATGGGAGCATGCCCTCAGCTGAGATCCCTTCCAGCTGTCTCTTCAAAGACCTCCTTAGACGGGGCAGAGGTGGGGGGACACAGTCTGAAGACACTTTAATCTGTCTGGATACTTTTCTACTCCTAACCTTTTTCCCTCTCTCCCATCTTCTTGGCCTCAGGTCCATAAAACAGGAGGAGCCCTTTGTTTAGGACTTCCTGAGCAGTGAGGTGAGCCTCAGATACTCACCATCTGTCATCGGCTCTGATTCACCTGTCACCCTGTGCCATTCTGTTGTGAAAAATGGAACACTGAGGGAGCCAGCACCCTTTCCTTGGGGCCTCTTGTTTACAGTATCACAGCAAGTAAACAAAGTCTTGGCTATTACTTTCCATTTGGCTCATTGTCCTAACTGACCACTTCAACACTGATAGCTCAGGGCATCTTTCTTCCTCTAAACTTCCTTATTCACACTTACTATTACACATAATCTCTATCCTGTATTATTGGTATTTGTATATAGATATATTTCTCATCTACATAAGTTACAGCAAATTCCTTGAAAGCAGGGACAGTGTTTACCCCTATGAACCCCACAATATCCAGCTGACATCCTACAGTTAACAAATATTTATGGAAAGAATAAATGAATATAACATTCCAGAAGTAGCCTATATACAAAATACCCTTAAAAGGAGAGAAGACTGAAAGAGGAATAATATGATCTGAAATGCTAAATATAAACAGTCTGAAAAATCTCCAAGTGACCAAATGAAATTTCACAGGCTCTATTAAATTCACCAACATTTACAATTTGTAATATACTAACTATAAAATCACTTTCACCAATAAAGAGCAAATAAACTAGAAAAAGAAAAGAAGATAATTTCAAAAAGAGAACACATTCTGGTTTCTGGGAAAGATATATGGTATCTTCAAATCAGCACATTCCTACTGTGCAATTTGAAGTGGTTCATCTTTCTGGCACTGTCCTGGTAATTTCAGCAATGGTCTTTATTTTTTATCCTTGATGCTTTTGAAACTGCATGATTATCATAAAACACAGAACACTTCAAACCTGCCTCATGTCAAATGTATGTAAAAATAAAGTTGTAATGTTAGATATATTGAATAATAGCACAACAAGAAAGATGCCAGGTATAAGTAAATGAAGAAAAAAATCAGAAGCAGGAAAATAATTCAAGAAAGACTTTAAAGCAGAGCTTATTGTTTTGTTATCACACACAACATAATCCAAATGATATGCAGCACATTATAATGCTGTAAATTCAAAACATAAGCTACCAATACAGACAGTCTACACAGAGCAACATTTTAGCTTATGAAGGCTGCTGCAATGGCTTCTGCTTATTGGTTAAAAGAAAAATTAAGGTTATTCAGCCAAGCTAGATAAACTAAGTCCTAGAACTAGACAGACATAGATCATCACCTTGTATGTTTCTTCAGTGAAGTAACATGGACACTGTCAGATAAAAATAGGCAACTGTTAAAGAGATTGCTTTACAACTTAAATTAAACAGCTTATAATAAAATTAGATGAAAAGCTTGCTGACGAAAATTTTTTTTTGATTCACTGTTTAACTCACAGTGATATTACCTTATTTCAGTTTGAGCAGAATTTCTCCCTGTTAAAAGAGGCCCCCATACTTTGAGACTAAATAAGTCTGACAATAGGAAAAGGTCCCAAGCCTGCCTCTTTAGTTCATAAGGTTGCTGATCAGGGGCCAGACAGTAGCGTTGTACATGGCAAAAGCTGTCATTAAGTGCAGACCTTCAGGTAAGACAGGTGATCTGTAAGTCTAAAATTCAAGGAACTAGGCTAGAAACGTCTCTCCAAGCAATTCAAGTTGCTGTAGATATAACTTTAAAGAAACGAAATTGTTAAGTAAGAAGAGGATTAGGAAAGAAACTAAGAAAAAGTAATGAAACATGTTAATGACAAACTCAAGTACTGACAAACAATATTATATTCCTTGGTGATACATTAGCATTTCACAAATCATAGTGATATACAGAATAAGGATTTCATTTTACGTTATTTCTCAAGTAAGAACCAATGCTCAAGAATTCTGTCCAGATAACAGATGTAATGAGCTAGCTTACCTGCCCTTGTTCTCTTTCCCTTTACTTTTACTTTCTTGACTTTTTCCTCCAGTAGGATCCCACTCTACACAGGTATCTTCAACTCTCAGGTTCAAATGGGATGATGAATTATCCAAACTGAAGTTAAGTGCTAGCCAAAACAATATTTCAAGTTTTAAAAATATAGCGTATCTCTAGTTTTTGAAGCACAACTATCATCACATTATTTTCCTACTCAATTGATTTAACACTGTTTATAGAGAATATAGTTCAAATTCCTAATCCTAGTATTTAAAGTCCAGAACGATAAAGCCATAATCTACTTTTATTTATTTTTGTTTTTGTTTTTCTGGGGGGGGTAGTAATCAGGTTTATTTATTTATTCATATAGTCTTTTTTTTAAAACGGTGGTACTGGGGATTGAACCCAGGACCTCATGCATGCCAGGCATGCAGTGTCATAATCTACTAATTCCCACTTTATTTTCCATCCTCCTTCTCTATATATCCTATATGCCAACCAAATACAACGGACTTGCATGGCTACTAGTCTTTCACTGTTCCTTCTGCTGGAATCTCCATCAGCACACAATAGCTTCAATTTCCTATACGTAGAACATCAGTTGATTACCAGCTGATTGTTATTTCTAACTAGGAAGAGGAGCTGGTAGAATTAAGGATGAGAAGAAAGTAACGTGGTGTAAGAAATTATAGAGCCTGGCACACACATATCTTCTCTGTTGCTCTAACATCTAATAATTTCGTATTTAAACTCTTAGTAGTTTCAAAATATGGCAAGCATGGAGAAACGGGGCCACGACAGCAGAAGGGAACTAACTCAGCTGACAGAGCTAAAGATGATCTACATGGCAAAGAGCAGAGCAGGGAAAGGGGCTACTTAAAGGAAAACAAATCGAAAAAACACAAAACAGAACTATGTTTTCAGGTTACTTGGTATTTGGGTGAAATACTGTACTATGCACATGACTTGTCAGAACTGCTAACTTACGGAATCAGTGTTACCGTCTCCCTTTGGAAATTGAGGGTAAATCACTAATATCCACAGCTGAGTCGTACACAGTTCCTCCTATTTAATGTGCAATTCCTAGAATCTCTATCTTAAGCGAGGTATCAACTGCATAGTTACCAATTAATCTGCTTCTGTTAGTTACACTTCCCTCCAAAGTTGAAATTTCTGGTAAATACTCATTGAAGAAATATTTATTTTATAATATCTCGTTTCACTTAAGGGTAATACTTGATTTAGCTAAGGTTTCAGTGTATCTGTGAAGTATACAATAGCAAACAACAAAATACCCATATAGAGCCTAATGTTTACCTACTGAATCAGGAATCTGTTCATACTCCACTGTTTTGTAAACAGTGCTTTAATTTCACCTATCCATCTGACCCATTGTTCACTGTATTTATAAAGCATTCTAAATACCAGTCTACTGACCATAACCACTTCTAGTAAATATCATACTATGTGCGAAAAAGTTAACAGCTTTCAAAGCTGCATGTAAAGAGAAATGAACTTACTGAAAGAAGAAGTAATATAGCTTCTCAGTTAAAATGGAAATAGAATTCCTTAACAGATGGGTTACTAAAAAGTTAGGATTAAGTAAAACTGAGACCCTGTATTATCAAGAATAAACTGCCTTATGAAAACTAGGTTAACCTCCAGATTAGTTAATACATGTGAGGGCATCTGATTTTTTTATATTTTCTCTTTTTTTTAATGTTTCTTTTTTTTTAATTTTTAGGGGAGGTAATTAGTTTTATTTATTTGTTTATTTGTAATGGAGGTAACAGGTGTCAAACCCAGGACCTTGTGGATGCTAAGCAGGCACTTTACCACTGGGCTGTACCCTCCCCCACTGCATTTTTGAGATAAAGAAAAAGTGGATATAACTCTAAGGTACCATCAATTCTCAGTTGTTTGCTAAAATCCTAAGGAAAAAAAATCCTAAGGCTGTATCGTAATGTTTGATATGACGGAGAGAAGAGTAGAGTCAAGAGTGGCAAGAATATATGTACCACCTCCAGCCATTTGAGACCAGACCTACCAAATACACAGAACACATAGCATCTAAAAGGGTGCAATCTTTTATATCTCTTTTTTTTGGACATCATCCCTTTATGAGACCTCAACTAAGTCAGAGATCCTCTCTAAGGTAACAGGGATATCATGTACTTAAAAAAAAAAAAAAGACTGGCCTCAAAAGTGAGGTCTCAAATGTTAACCCTGTCTCTCATCTAAGTCCTATAATATCTAGATATTAGTTTCCATATCTTTAAAAGTTTGTGAAGACAAGTACCAAAAAAATCAGAACACAGATATGTTTCTTGTATTTAGTTTGTTTTGGTGGCTGCTTTCTAGGTACGGTAAAATTACATCATAGTCACGATCATCTGAGGCTAGAATATAACTGGTGGTTAAAGTCACATCATTTACCTTTACAAGAAAGTAAGGGATAATACACTTTAAAAGTTTGGTTATAAGAACTTATATTATTCATCACTTTTGTAATGACAGAAGAAATAGGCCTACATACATTAGAGACAAAAACGAAAAATGTTCATTATTTTCCACACCAAGCACTGGATGGTCAGAAAGGGCTGCAACATGTCAAAAAAATTAGTAAACAATCATTCAATGTGTCATTTTTTAAAATCTGACTTTTCCTCTGGAACTCTTGGCTACCATTAGTAGCCACTCCAGTGTTACAGAATAACCTCAGAAAACCTGTGACCCACAGCCACTTAAGAGAGAATTTTATTGAGTCTCCCTGAAGGTCAGAATCACTGTTCAGTGGGCCTCAGGGTTGAGTTTCAGTCTACACCCACCCCAGGGGGTTTACCCCACAGTGAGAACTGCTCCGAAGAACTAGAAGCAACTTAGGCTTTCCCTACAAGCTCCAGGACCAAGTATCCTACTAGTAAGACCTAGACTCTGCTAACAGGGCAGGCAGACCCGCTCCAGGGAAACCACCAGCCAGCCATGCATCTTCCTCAGCCTATGGACTTTGCACAGAAATATACAATTCGCCACATTTAGGCACAAAATTGGTTACTAAATACAAAAGGTAATGAGAAGGAACAAAAGAAATAAAAAAGATACAATATTCTTGAGGGAGGATATTAACAATATCACAATTTTACCTGACAAGGGCAAAAAAACAGTTCAAGTTATGAAGAAAAGATCATCTGCCTGTAACTATGACTACAATTTGAAACAGTAAAAATCTGTACAGAAACCACAGCAACAGCTCAGTTTGTTAACAGGTAATTTTAAATCACTGTATTTCTTGGCTGACCAGTTACCTGTAGTTTTCAAATAAAAACATTTGCAATCTAAACAAATTATTTCAATCTAGTTTTTTTTAACCTTTTGATGCAAACCTATTCTAAATTTGTCTTGTCAATAACTTACGGGTCACATATCTTGTTTTATTGTAATATGATATTTTTATATCATCCTCCAAATGATATCAAACTTCTGGCATTCAAATCTAACCAAATGCTATATGAACTAGAGGTCAGAAGAACACTCTAAGGTCCAGTTACCTACAACAATGTGTAGAATTTGCTTCTGTAAGTAAACCAAGTCAATTCTCATCTCACAACTGGGAAGATCTCTAGCATTATGGTCTTCAAATTGGTAAATACTTGGAAAATCTTCTGTGTTAAAATATATTATTCTAGGGGGGTTTAACCAAATCCAAATTGTTCTCATAGACTAGAAGCACCTACATGCCACGCCCACATAAAGGCTGGCACAGAACTTGTAAACAGATTCTAATTCACACCTTTCTAAGCTACTTCTAGGATCATGGGCAAGTTATTTAACAGATTTGAAGTTCACTTTCTTCACCTGCAAAATAGGTATCAATAATATCTATTACACAAATCTCTCAAGATGGTTGCAGTGACCAAATGAAGACTTGTGAGAGAGCTTTGTAAACATTATTAAACTACGTAAATGTTAATTTCTGCAGTAAGATTTAAGAAAACAATCCATTCTCTGGGAAAACTGGGCAAATCTCAGAGATGCTTATGTATTTATACTAGACTAAAATTTGTAAATTAAGCCCCCATCAGAGAACATAACACCATCACCTCAGTCTATTTTACCCATCTGAAAACCATGGTAAAGGGAAATATAATGAAAACCATTACTATAGTCCTAATTTCCCCATCTTAAAATTCCTACTGTTGAGAATTCCGTGTGTGTGTGTGTGTGTGTGTGTGTGTGTGTGTGAAAGAAGGTGGGGAAGGAATGCAACCATACATGCAATGTTTCCTTTCACGAAGTCTTGAATAACTTTAGATGTTAAGTTTTGCTTCATGCTATATAAAAAGCTATTCACCTTACCTTTGGTCTCTAGAGTAACTGGATCAGAATACTCTCCAGCCACAGCCTTGTTACAAGCTCGTACTCTGAAATTCATATACTTTGAATCAAACTTTAAGCCTGAAAAAATGAAAGAGGTTTTCAGATATGAAAAGTAAAGAAATCTACTCCAAGAGTATGAACCTTCAAACAGACATTTTTCTCTCCTTGGAACTATTTCTTTATTCAGGAAGAGAACAAATTTCTGTTAAAAGGGTGATAATGCCTGAAATAAGAAGAATCATGATTTATCTATTATTTTCTTCAAAATGAATAAATTATACAGTTTATCAATGGCTTTTTTTTTTTAAACCTGGTGAGAAAAAGGTACTCTCAAGTCTCACTGTAAGTAACATTTCATTCATGGAGAAATACTACAATTTAAAAAACATTCAATTTCTGGAAAGCAAACACCCTAAAGAATTTTCACATTTACAAAACATCATTTCATATGTGAAAAATGAATTTAAAGAGAAAATAAAGCATTGGGATTAACTGCAAAACTTTGAAGTCAGTCAGGTCCAGATTAAAATCTCAGTCCAAAAACTACTAGTTATGGGACCTTCAATAACTTGACAGAGCCACAGTTTTGTATCTGCAAAATAGAAAGGAAAAAACCAACCTCTTAACTGTAAAGACTAAAAGAGATGTGCTGTACTGATTAAATGAGATGTACTGTGTAATACACTTCAGCCCAGCTCCTGACAAGAGGTAAGTGCTCAACAGTGGGTAATGTCACCAATGTTACTGCCCACATATAACTAACATTCAACAACTCAGGCAACATTTGGCCACTTCAAATACCCAATGTCCCCTATATACAGAGATATGTTTTTAAAGACTGTCAAAAGGCCAACACTCAAACTTCTAACACCAAGTCACATCCCCACTTTAACTATTACCGTGAAGGTAATCATAAAAGGGTAAAGGCAAAAGTATTTACAGCATCACTAAAATGTGGGGCAGTGCATACGCTTAGGAAACTGACAACTTTTTTACTGTTAGAAAACCAAGGTAATAATTAAATGTTACTCTGAAATACTGCTTCCAGAACATCCCTTCATGTTTGTTTTACATACACTTTTATCAGACTGCAAATATCGAGAAGTAATTAAATTGAAGGTTTTCTTGATATTTTAAGAGAAACTCATTTCTATAATAAATATACAAAAAGTCAGCTTGGCTAAAGAAATTTATTACCTTCACCTTTTAATGTAATTAAAAATATGTTTCACAATTACATTTTATTTTCTGAGGATGAGATTCATGAAATGCTGTTGTTTTACCTGATAGGGTATATTCAGTACCCTTAATATTATCAATTATCTCCCAGCATCGCTCATCCTTTACACGTGGAAGTCCATCAAAATTAGTTTTCCTATATTCCAGTATAAAATGATCAATCTTATTATCTTCTTCTGGCATTCTCCAAGCTACCGTTACAGCGTTGTCAGCCACCAAACACTCAACTGGATCTATCTCTGGAGCTTTGGGGACTGAAGGAAAAAAAAGGGCTCATTTCTCATTACAGTACTAATCCAATACTCAATGTTTGTCATTCAAATTATGCTTTTTAATGTTGCTTTTAAACTGTTCAGTTGAATCAAGCTAAGAGAACGGACATCTTATAAATGCAAAATAACTATTTTACATAGCTCTGTTTAAAACTTCATATTTCAAAGTTTTCCATAGACTTATTCAAAGTTTATTAAAACCTCAATAGTCAAGAAGCAATTCAAACATGCTAAGAATAAAGAATCAAGAATGATTTGTTATTTCTCAAAATACTGTTAATCTATTTCAAATAGCTGGAGAATATAAATTAAATCACTATTGACAAAACAGAATAACTTACTCTGAATCCAGTGATTAAAATAATTCAAGATATTTTCAATGTATTTTTAAATTTTTTTTTCTAAAACAACTGTAATTTCTCAACACTGAACAAAAGTGAACTTCCCAATCCTACTAAATACTTAAGAGTTTAAATTTCTAAATGTTTCTCCAAAGAGTTCTATGATTCATTAAAACAAACTGAGGTAAATGAGTCAAAATTAACATGTATGAACGTTAATCAATTTCTTCTTCATAAAAGAGGCTTTTTACAGCTCCTGAACATTAACAGATGTTCCACTTAAATAACAGCAGGCTAACTGGAGAATGTGGTCCTCCAGTGACACAGACACGTCTGAAATGTGCGAAACTGTGCAAGTATTATATTTAAACATTTTGTTGCTTAAAAAAAAGTTTTAAAAGATTTACTCCAAGTATGTAAGATTAGTTAGTTCAACATTCTACATTAATTAATGTAAATCATCACATCAATAGAAGAAAAATCATATAATCAGTAGAAAAATTATATGATCATATATATCAACAGATGGAGAAAGAATATTTTACAAAACCCAACACTCATTCATGACAAAAACTCCCAGAAAACTAGGAAGCTTTAGTTGATAAAGAACATCTACAAAAAACCCTCAGTTAACATCAGTGTTGAAAAGCTAGGTACTTTTCCCCTAAGGCACTGACATCCCCACTCCTACTCAACACTGTACTGGAAGTTCTAGCTAAATGTTATAAGACAAGGTAAGGAAGTAAAAGATAAACAGACTAGGAAGGAAGAAATAAAACTGTCTTTGTTTGCTGATAACATGACTGCCTATGTAGAAAATCCCAAAGAATCAACAGAAAGCTGCTTGGAACTAACAAGCAATTAGATAGCAAGGATACAGAATACAAGGGATAAACAGGCAGAGTACAGGGGGATTTTAGGGCACTGAAACTGTTCTGTACAATTATGTAATGGTGGATACAAGACATTACACATCTATCAAAACCCACAAAACTATATAATAGAGAGTAAATCCTATGTAAACTGTGGAATTTAGTTAATAATAATGTATCAATATTGGTTCATCAATTATATCAAATGTACCACACTAATGCAAGACTTTAATAATAGGGGAAATTGTATGTGGGGGAGGAAGGGAGGTACATGGTAACGCTCTGTATTATCTACTCAATTTTCCATAAACCCAAATCTGTTCTAAAAAACAAAGTGTTAATTAAAAAAAACTATAACAATAACAACAAAGGAATTATATACATATTAAAATCCAAAGCAATGTGAGATCTAACAAATAACAATGTAAACCAAACATCTTAGATACAATAATCAAGACCAAGATGAAAGGAATTTGATATACATTTTAAATCTTCAAGCCTAACTAGTAAGAAAGGGAGGGAGGGAGGTGAGACAAATGATCTCCATTAGCTAGAGTTCAGCTATTGCATGTGTGTAATTACAACAAATACTTGGAATCTGATATACTTATCAGTAAGATAACAGACAAAGAAATACTTAGCATTTGTCATTATGATTAACTCCCTTCATCTGTCTTGTAGAGAGTCTGTCCCTATAAATGTAACAGACTTCACTCTCTATTATGGGGCACAAGCAACACAGACTATACTATTGACTGCTGAGGGAAAAGAGCACAGGCATTCACGAATTTAATATGCTCTGCACTGCCTCCATGTGAGGAAATGTAAAGGCCTACAGCATCTAGTAATTTTATAATTTTGCTGAGTTAAAACCTATATATTTAATGCCCCAAGAGGCTGGAATAAGGGGAGAACCACTTAGTTTCTAAGTGAGTGTAGCTAACTCCCCACAATCTACATCTCAAATTCAGCTACCATTCCAGAATGAATGTACTGGCAAGTAAATTCTTCTTTCTTGTGAATAATGCCCCTCCAAAGAAAGCAAACTTAGGAGAAAAAAAGAAAATTTTGATAATTTAAGACTGGTATGTCAAACTAAGACTGGTATGTCAACTAAGGGTAACTCAGATCTAACTTGTAGAAGTTTACCCAATATTCTATACAGAAGTGAAAGAAAAGTTTCCTCAAATGAGGGATAAAAGTTCAGGGAAACATGAAAGGTGGTAAACTTGTAATATAAAAACATTACTTAGGAAATGCAGAAGTCTCTTTAGAAACGAGAATGAAAAGCAATTCACAGCAATTTCCATAAAGCAACAAACAGTTAATTCTTAATAGTATGAAAATTGGTTCAATAATTTTACTAAGAATCTTTCTCTGCGTGTGGATATAAAAGGACAACTGCCAACAACATGACCACAAACCTGTCTCTCTTCTTAGCTGCAGACGCTTAGAAAGGAGGATATAAACTCTAAGTTTCAATGCATAAAAAAATGGCTTAGAATGGCTTCTAGTCTTTTTTTAGATTCCACATATAAGTGATATCGTAAAGTATTTGCCTTTATCTGACTTAGTTCACTATTTTATAACTATAAATGGAGTGTAACCCTTAAAATTTGTGAATCACTATATTGTACACTGTAATTTAAATAATACTGTTCGACAACTATATACTTCAATTAAAAAATAGCTTAGAGTAGAATAAAATGACTTTGTAATTATCACCATCCGTCATCATCATTTCCATTTTTCAGACTCAGATAAGTCCACAACTCATTACTGCACATAATGCAGTGCAGAGTTGAGTTTTGTGGTGTTTATGGAATGAATTGTTTAAGGGATGAAGGCATTCATTTTTTTTAGTTAATCAGATTGCATCTTATAGGAAATTTTTATGCTATAGCAAAATATAAAAAATCAGTGATATGAATTCACTTTTCATAAATTCTCACAACTTACTATACTTTTCTTCAAGATGAAACTCCTCCACAAAAGGATTCCCTGTTTTTTATTATACTTCATTCCTTCAGACTGCCTTAACAGTCTGCAAAAGAGGAAATCCTAACTGTGCATGCAATCTACCTGACTGTACAGGAGACATGGCCTTAGTCTGCTGTACAAATTATTTTAGCTATCAGCTTAACATTACTTGATGCTAGCTAAAAAAAGAATAATAACCAAAAGGTCCTTAATTGGCTCTTTCACACACGTGGATAATAACTTGGGACTCAATTTCAAACGGTTTTGGCTGCTGAAATATCCTCATACTAATACTGTAAAAAATCAATGTTAACATATTATTACTGGAAATAAAATTACACCTGAACTACCAACAACCACAACAATAATGGTAATAATAGCAGTTAACATTCACTGAGTGTTAACTATGTGCCAAGTACTATTTCAAGTGCTTTAGCAGTCTCAATTCATTTAATCCTTATAAAAACCCTAGAAGGATAACATCACATTTTAAACATGAAGAAAATGAGGTAAAGTTAAATAACTTGCTAAGGTTACACAGCAAATAAATCGCAGCCAGGATTCAAATCTAGGAAGTCTGGCCCCAAGATCCAAAGTTAACTACCATGGTATGCTGATTCTTTCTGCCAAACTAGCACTAAAAGGTGTCCCTTAAATCCTCCTACACTGTTGAGGGGAATGTAAATAGGTGCAGCCACTATGGAAGACAGCATGGAGATTTCTCAGAAAACTAAAAACAGAACTACGATCTGACCCAGCAATTCCACTCCTGGGTATGTATCTGAAGAAAACAGAAACACTAATTAGAAAAGACACATGCACCCCAATGTTCATAGCAGCATTATTTACAACTGCCAAGGTATGGAATTAATCTAAGTGTCCATCAACAGATGAATGGATAAAGAAGATGTGGTGTATATATACAATGGAATACTACTCAGCCATAAAAAAGAATGAAATAATGCCATTTGCAGCAGCACAGATGGACTTGGAGGGCATTATGCTAAGTGAAATAGGTCAGAAAGAGAAAGACAAATACATGTCACTTATATGTGGAATCTAAAAAATACAACAAATTAATGAATAAAACAAAAAAGAAACAGACCAGATAACAGAGCAAATGAGTGGTCACCAGTGAGAAGAGGGAAGGGAAGAGGGGTATATATATATATATGTAACTAGATGCATATATAGGGGCAGAGGGGGAAAGGGGTTACTATGGGAGTATATGAAATCGTGTGTGTGAAACTTCTGAAAACTATAAAGCACTATAGAATTTAAAGAATCTTTCAATTAAAAAATGTAAAAAAACTCACATAAAAAAGGTACCCCTTAATAGGATTCTACAATGGAATTTTTACTCTTAGTAAAATAATTGTCTAAAAATAAAGGTTAGCAAATTTAATTATTCCTAGCTGAACAAAGAGAAAAAACAATCACTATACTTTCTTAATATTTACATTCTAATATTCAATACAGAAAACTCTTGCAGAAAAAAAGGTTTTATACATAACTTTGTAGGTAAGGTAATAATATGTACCTACTTACCTGGCAAAAACTTCAATGTTTGCAGTATCTGTCTTTCCTGAGAAAAATCCACCATTAAATGAGTCATGTTGTCACTGACCTTTGGTTTCAAAGAAAGGCGAAAGGCTGAAGCCATGGTTACTCTATAGCAAACACAAACATAAACATTCTTTTAAAAATAAGAGAATGGAAAGTATCTTATATTTAATTTATAAAATGAACAGATAGAAATGATTTCACTCTAGTGATTTCAGAAACTATTAACAAAGGTAACAAAACTAAATAGAAATTTTTTGTTAGTTTTTTGAAAATTAACTTAAAAAAATTATAAAACATTTTTAAATTTAATGATATTTGAGACAACCTTTCAGGAACCTTCCTCCAGCCAGTTTTATAAAACTGCATAAAAATACAAATATCTCAAGAAACAAATATCCAAGATAAATCATCTTTAATAGACCCAAAGTCATCTGAACCTCTGTACACTCAATCTAACTGACTTCCTGATGCCAGCCTCACTCCTTTTCAAATGCCAAATAATGAACTGTAAATACACCCTGATTCAAACATTCTGCCTAGCTGTCACATCTACTACATGTATTATCAAATAAAAGTAGAGGTACACTAACCAAATATTGTACAGCTTGGTAGCTGCTAAAGATAGGCCATGGATGAGAAAGGAGAGAAGTGAAATCACAATTCTGAATACCAGGCTAGTAGGTGTCACTCTGATGTATCAACATCAGGTGGACGGAAGGATACAAGGAGAAACAGCCCTGTGAAATCAGATGAACATATTTAGACAATTATGCCTCAAAGCCATGGAAATAATAGGAATTCAATAAATATCCTTTAGATGAATGTGTTAGAAATAGAAAAAGAAAGAAGCCATACTAGACCTCATTTTACTCAAAGTAGGGGGAAACTGTTCTGTCAATTAAAACTGGGATTAAAAGAAATTTTCCTAACACTAGTGGTTACCAGTGGGGAAGACGAAGGAAGGAAGGGCAATTTGGGGTAGAGGAGCTATGTATAAAATAAGCTACAAGGGTATATTGTACAAGATAGGGAATATAGCCAATATTTTATATTATAAATGGAGTATAACCTTTAAAAATTGTGAATCACTATATTGTATACCTGTAACTTATATAATATTGTACAGCAACTATACCTCAATTAAAAAAAAACTCTTATATTCTATTAATTTGTTATTTTATCTCAAATTATGATTTTTCATATGACAGTAAATTTCCACAAGTATCATAAAGTAACTCCCCTTACTATCTTTGGTCAAAGGATAAAACAAAATTGCTCTTCATGAATGTCATCCTCCCAGTACGCTACCTGGGAGAGGAAGTAAATGGAGCTGGAGGAACAATGGGAATACCAGGCCTCATCATTCAGATCTACCAAACTACCCCAAAGACCGACGGTATGAAAAGTACCAAATGTGTTGCTGTAATCAGTTATTTGGGGATGAAAAATGTCAAACTTTTGCTATATTCAGTTATTTTATTTCATTTTAAAACTGGGAAGGTAATCACTTCAGCAGTAACAAAGAGTCAGTAATAGCTGATCTATTTATCAAGAAGAAAGTGCAATACTGAAATACAATTTACAGAGAGGGGAACTCACGCTTAACTGAATGCCAAGTGTAATGCTGAGTATTTCACACATTATTACTTTAAACTCTTGGTTCTCAGTAATAAAACTTCAGATTATATCAATAATAAGTTAGGAACAAAGGCTAAGTCTTCCATATGCTATTCTTTACAGCCCCAAGTATCTTTTGATTTAAATCTTTCTGAAAGTTCTGAAAGAGCTATATTCAAATAGGTAGCTGGTAAATGCCCACTGAGTCTATGAATGGGCTTGAACCTACCTGGCCGCTTCTAAACCTATTTAAATGTTTGTTGAGAAGTGTTGAGAAAAAAATATCTGGAAGTATTTTAGGGAATTTAAATCTGAAACCTTATTTGTAAACCTGATTTGATCACTATGACCTCAAAGAAAAAAAATGTTCCCCAAAAATGCATTAGAAAGGCCTATCAAAGCCTGAAAACAAGCTAATGACCTTTATTTTCCAGTCGATGAAAATTTCAGTCTCCATAAATTAAATTAGATGTACACCAATGCTATAACCTTCCAGAAGACTGAACTTTTAATTTTTAAGCTGAACATATTTAGACAATTATGCCTCAAAGCCGAAATTAACAATCTAAAATCTATAGATAATTCTTTACATTACAGGATCCATGTAGTTAGGACTACTTTAATTCACCTTTGTTTTTTTAGTTCATTTCTAACAGTACAAGCATCTCTTCCTTCTAGTTTTATTTCTGCAACAAGAAAATAACTGCAAAACATAAGATGAACACTTACTTTCCTCAAACTATTCACCTAATTAACTTGACTCTCCCTCTTAGACCCCTTTCAAACAAGAACCAGTAACTCCCACAATATACCTCAACCAATCAGCTTCCAACATTACTAAGCACTCAGAAGTGTATACCAGTGATTTGTAAAGTTCTAGAGATCTGCCATGTATTATCTTCTCATTTCTCCTTTAGTTTTCCCTGTCACTACTGCTGGTCCTTCCGCATAACTGCTAGCAGTTCTCATAGATACTGTCATTTTGATTTTTTGATTCTCTGCTTAGGTATCTTACACATTCTTCCTTAAATACTCCTTATGCTTAAGGAAATAATCCTTTCTTCCCCTAGTAAAAATAATTATTTTATTATGCCTATATGTTTAAATTATTTTTGTATTATAAATGTCAATGATGGAATTCTAGAAGTTTGCTTCCTGGAGGAGCACCTAAAAACAACATCAGAGAAACCTGAATATTATGAAGCTAAAAGGCAAGTATTAAAAGTTAAGCCAAGACCCAGAAACGTTCCTAAGGCAGGAAGTAAAAACTTTGTGGACAGTCAAAAAAAAAAAAAGGATACTTTGAAAAACAACAACAACAACAAAATGGAGTTTTCCCTGGCAGAAAAAAGGAACCCTGACTCCTAAGACTACATGGATACTGATGAAATCAAGCCAAGAGTTTGGCTTAGGAGAAGAGGCAAAGAAGTCCAGCCTCAGTGAAGAATGTATTCAACCATGAAAACTGGTCATAAACTTAAATTCTGACAAACAAAACTGGACAAAGAGAAAGAGGTCAGGGGTAAGCACTGGAATCTGAGAAGCACAGAACCATACAGATTCCCATGAGAGGAACAAGAGACGATTTTGCAAGGTTTCTCGCAAAGTGTTTGGACAGCCCAAAGCTTGCTTGGGAAGTGACTTCTATTCCAGAAAATCAGGGACCAGAGCAGGATTTAGTGGAATAGGTGGCTAAATGGAATAATAATCTAGCCATGGTGGAAAATGGAATACTCAGAGCAAATTCCAGCAGACACAACCAAAGATTCCTTATCCAAAAAACTGACCTACCAGGCATCCATTCCTCATACAGCCAATGCTTTTCACCTTCAGACTCTCATAATCTCCTTTCTACATCCAGGACTTACAAGAATGATTCATGGCTCTAAGCACTCCCTGATATAAAGTATACAAAAAATTTTTTTAATTAGTATTTTTGCTAAGAATGCTATGACTGCCAATTGAATCTTGCCTCTGGTCAAATAAAAGGCCACAAGAAAAACACAGAGTTGAAGTCTTCAGCCAAGATTAACAATAGCAACACTGGTTTTCACACACACATAATGAATAATTTTGTGAATTATCTGATGAATAATTTAATCTGGGATTCAGAGTTATGCTTTGAAGAGCTGTGCCTTTCAGAGAATCTCATACTCCTCAAGTGATAATCTCACAACAGTCAATGCTTAATCACTAGCCAAGCAGACCAAAACCATCCTTTCTGCGATAACCCAATCCAAAACTGCTGACAGCTCTTTTGGCCCTTTCATTACAGCAAGTACTAAGTTCCCCTTCTTAATCCTGGCTCTACCAATGATAAAGACCTTTTAGACCAAAGTCTATCATCATTTTCTATAATTTTCTTCTCCCATAAACTAGATAGTAGTGGCATTAGAAACAGAAAGAGATGGCACCAGGAACAGGATGGAATGAGAATACAAAAGTGTTAAACAGGAGAGCAGTGAAGAAGGAGAGCTTTAGCTCTTGAGGACTATTTAAAGTATAACTTCTCATAAAGTAAGACATGCTTATAAAAAATTTAAGAACAACAAAAAAAAGCATTCCAGGAATATGTATATTTTAAATTATTCAAAATGGTTCCCCATCTACTAGCATAGCTAATTAAGAACTGTACTAAAACTATATTATACCAGAAATGAAATTCCTTTGTAAGTATGTAATTGTCCACAACTATGTTTTTAAAAATCTCGCTGACAGATTGTTTAGTTCAGAATATACAGAGAAGACATTTTTTTCTTTCTTTTTTTGTACTTGGCCATTCAGTATGTTTATTTCAACTAACCAGTTTCTAATAAACTGTCCTTGAATTTCATTTCTGACTTCAATATCAATACTTAAATGAAAATGTAGGTTTGATACCATACCTATCCTTGATCTGTCTGGCAGCCTTGGAGCAAACCAGGGAGAAGAGAAAGAAGGCAGTTAGTGCTTTTCATGCAAGTTTCAAAGGCAGTGACATGCAAGAAAAGTTAGCATATAAACCCCAGAATAGATTAGTTCATATTCATCAAAACATAAATTACAGGAAATGTGTACAATTCACATCAGCTTGCATAATGTGATGTTAGAACTATAGTAGAGAATCCAGTCCCCATATAAGTCACCCTAAAAAGAGGAAAATTTAATACTTCAAACTAATTCCAGATGACTTTAAATGTTTTTTCTTACCTTAAGATTATCAAAACACACCTCCACTTTCATTCAGTCTGACACTCTTCAACTAGAACAATCAATCTCCTTCATAGGCACACATTTCTATGCATTCTGATGGTTTTCTTATACATTTCAAATCTGCTCTCCAATTTTTCTTCACAGATTTCTTTAACTACTTCATAATTGTCGTTCCAAGTTTTCTCTATGTGCCTTCACTGGGCAAGGACTTTGTATTCTGAGAGCTTGCCTGCTAACATATGAAACTAGGCTGCAGTTCTTCAATCCTTTACTCCAAAGAGTGAAGTTGTGATGGCAAAAATTCAGACAAGGAGAAACAAAAGAATACTTCTAGCTATGCGGTCTTTCCCTCAGATAACTTCATAGAAGATGATGCCAATTTAAACCTATGCTACCGAAAAGATATATATCTTAGGTAGTATATATATATATATATATATATATATATATTTGGGAATGCTAGCCCAAGTATAGGAAGAGGGCACAGCTATTACTCAGTGCTGTACAGTCACAGAAAATGTGATGAAAAATACATACAGAAACTGTCATCCACTTTATATTTACATACTATGAAGTAAATCCAACAAAAGGTTTTTTCCCACATTGACCAGCATAATTAACAACATATCCAACGTAGAACATGGCTGTTATGTTTGACACTCTATCCCTAGTGTCTAGCATAAAGCTTGGCTCATAATAATACTTAATAATTACAAAATATAAGTGAACATTAATTAGATGTATACAGCAATGCATCTGTTGTCTCTCTTCTTCAGTTCTAATACTAGCTCTTACTTGGTATTGGTCATTTTTATAACCATCCTAAAATACTCTGGTCTGAATATCTGTCTACACAAAATAACAGAATTGAGATTTAGGAGATCAGCATATTACACAGTTCCAGCACTACCATAATCAATTCCATGACCTTGTATACTCATCATTCTATTTCTTTATTAAGGAATTTTGGTCCTTAATCTTTTTAAAAACACATTCCTAGCCCCAAATTCTACAGCAAACAAACTAATTCTGTATAGGCAATATCTGTAGTATGTGCCTTGAGTGATACAAGTACAGAGTACCTACTTTGGTACTAGGGATAAGAAATGTTCAGAAACTCAATTACATGTGCTCCTGAAACCAATATAACATTGTATGTCAAATTTGTGTTTTAAAATGTTAATTACATTTAAAAATTATTGTCATCATAGCTAGAATTATAAACCAAAGATTTTTACATAAGTGTGAAAGGAGGGGAAGAGAAGACTGTTTTCTGCACTTGATGTTTCTTTACACAAGGAGAAAGAAAGCATTACTCTTATTCCCTCATTTTCTCCTCAGGTGATAATATGACTTAATCTGATTATGAGTTTGAAAGGAAAAACTAAAAAAAACAGATGAAAAGCTAGATAATCTAGGAAAAACCGCTGTCTCATGTATTAATATATAAATACACGCAGCTGGTAAAACTGGAGACACCATGGTTCCCCTTTTATTTAAGGCCAAATTTTATAATACATACGCTGTGTAAATGCAGGAAGGGCTGAAGAAGGTATTTTGTGCAATAATAAAGGGGCAAAAAGTCTCAAATTCTGAAGACATTTTTCTAAAAGCCCAATTTCTGGAAATATCTTATATTGGAAAATAAATTGTTTACTTTTTTACTGGAATTTCTTCTCCCCAAAGCAAAAAGCTGTCCAAAAGATACACATTACTATATTGCTTGATTTCTCCAAGTCTCAGTTCCAAGACAGATGCATTTTTGTCAATTAAACATCTCTGCTTAGTAAGTACCACCTGGTCCCAGGATTTACCACCGTTGTCTCCAATACATCTATTTGCATCTGCATAATTCTACTTAGTGAGTTATGAAGAAGCCTCAAGGAATGCTTAGATTTTTAAGTTATGATACTATGTAGAATTAGAAAGCCTTCAAGAAGCATTAGTCATACTACTTTGTTCAACATCACTATTTTCTATTTCAATTAGTATTTCAATTTCAATATTCTATTGAAATCATGTTTGCCAACACTTCATTTTTCTGTATTATCACCAGAGATGGCTCCTTTCTCTCACTTCCTTTCTCCATCTCTCAATTGTTATTTGAAATAAATCTTACGATTCTGACCCTTTATTTTATCAGTTATATGAATTTGTCACCTGAGACCAAACTTCCTTAAATAAAACTCTAATTAAGAGTACAATGTAAGAGTAATCACAAATGGTTCTTCATCATTACCAATTAAATTTAAAGAAGTTAAATCAGCTCTTTCCCCAATCTCATTTTTAATCTACAATAAGTAGATACAGAAACTATTTTCTTTCATGAATTTAAGCACTTTAAAGATTAAAATCTTATTGTTTCTATATTTCTTCTTAATATCCTCATTTTCTACTTTTATAGAAAGATGTTAGAAGCAACGTATTCTAAAATATTCTATATATGGAATAGCTAATTGAATAGTATTTTCTAACACAACTAAAATAGGAATAATAAAAAAGAAGTTTTAGATCTTGTTTAATGTACTCAATGAATCATTTACTAAAACAGAACAAAATTTGAGATTTCCAGATTTCTTCCCAATCAGCAGAAATTCTTTACCCCATTAGTAAAAAACAAGGAGCATTAGACCAGGTTTTAAGGGATTTAAGTTTCAGCCCATCACACTGATCAGCAAATCCCTTAACTCTTTTAGGACTCAGTTATCTCATCTGTAAAGTGATGAGCACAATGTTATCTCTGAACCCTAGAAGTCCATCCTACGCCATCTTATTTGTAGATAATAACTTTTTTAAACTACCTAAAATAAACATTTTAACACTCTAATTCTCTGAAATACAGGCTGAAGTGGAGAAAGCAGAAGCAAGGGGAAAGTTAGTTAAAATCAGAGCACTGATACACAGCATAAAAATAAGAATATATCTGCTTCTGAATGATAACTGCTGAGAGAAAAATATACTAACACTGTCAAAAGCAAAAAATAGATGCCAAATGTCACATTTTTCTGAGGCTCATCTTTATTTTGATTTGCCGTAAAGCCCCAAATAGTTCCTAGTAAAAATGTGAATGCCACACAACATTCAGGAAACTTTTAAAGTTTTGTCTGTATGTTCATATTGTTTCATGCTTCAGATTTTCCTATTAGATTTGGGACAGATAATTCTGTAATATTTCCTTGAGACAATAAGAAAATGACTGGGGGGGGCAAATATTTAATACTTTTTATAATATATGATTAAGACTTCTACCCTCACCCCAAAAATACCATATTAAGGAATAACTTGGGAAATGAGAGGGACTCAGTCAGAGTGAATAAGAGAGAATTTCACAATGCTATTTTCCCTTAGGCAAAAATACCAGCTTTCAAAAAAAAAATACTGCATACTGCTTAATTCCAAGCTTTATATTTTCTATACATATATTTATCTGTTTTAAAAAGCACTATTTTTCAAAAAACATGATCACTTAAAAGGTTTCTTCACAAAACCCTAGTAAGTAATTTGAAATAAACTTTGAACACAGTAGTGCATACATCTATATTCTATGACTAAGTACATTTACATAACAGAAGACTACATTTCTGTAAGACATAAACACAAATGAAATTAAGGTGCAAAATTATAGTCTGAGCTATTCTTAACAAATACTTAGATTTGTTTTTAAACTGCCTTTATAACTGAAGCATTCACGCTTTTTTTTTAATGGATCAGTTATTTAATTAGGTTCTCTGTAGTAAGTTTAGAACACCAATTTGTGAGGATAAATTCCATTTGTGAGGGCAGACACAGAGCGGAGGTAGCCCTGGAGCTGAGGGACAGCTTTGATCCTTCGCAGGATTTGCGAGTCCACAGCTTTCTGATCAGCCTTGCGCCGCTCTGTAAACTCGTACCTCTCTTTCTCTGTGTCAAAGATCTCGCCTTCCTAGTGTCTGGGCTCACGCAGCTTCTTCTTGAAGTATCAGTGAGATGTTCGGGGGTTTTTACACCACTGATGTCAATTTTGGTGGAGGTGGCAGTAACAAATTTCTGGTGTGTTCTACGCAGAGGAACTCAACTGAGGGACAGAGGTCCAGTCACAAAAAGCAAACCACTGCTCAGCTGCTTCAGGAAAATGACCCTCTTGACTTTGTGACGCTCAGTGAGGATGATGAGAATGATCCCCAGAGTGATGCTGGCGCGCAGTTTCCTCACGTGCTTACTGAAGAGTTTCTTGCCGTGGCTCAACAGCTTTCGAGGCACATCTTCCAGTAGGATAATATCTAGGCATTTTGCGAAGCTTGACCACTCGGGTACCACCATTCTTTCACCATCAACTGGTTTTGTGACAGTAGCAAGAATCCTCACCTTCTTTTTCTTTTCAACCTTGGATTTAGCTGCTGAATACTTTCTCTTGTTCAAGGCCTTTCTGGAATACATAGCTGATCGGGAATATCGGCCAATTCCTCTGACCAGGACAGGTTTTCAGCTGCAATGGGGCTTCCCCTTCTTAACCTTCTTTACCTTCTTATCCTTTTTAACGTTGCCGCCAGCATCAGCCTTCTTGGCTTCAGGTTTTTTCTCCTTGGTGTCTGGCTTCTCAGTTTTTTCACCCGCCATCTTTCAAGATGGGAAAGAGGAAAACATTCATGCTTTTGTACATTCAGGCTTTTGCTGACGGTCCTCTCCTCTCCCAGAATTCCCAGAAGGAGCTTCTGCCAGTGCTACTTCTGCTGCCTTGAAAATACTAGTGAGCTGCCACCCCCCTCCTTATTTGTTCCTCCCAGTGGTCAGAGACTGACTCCTGCTAAACAATATTCCAATGGTGAGTTATTGTGAGTCAGAAGCAGGAAATACACAGAGCCCACTCTCCTTTTTCATTTTTGATCAAATCCAGAAGACTGTTTCACCTTACTCTATACTTTTGATTCCACTGTAGGCACCTGTGGGCAGGTAACCAGTCCCTCCTTCCTGGTCTGACAGCTGACTTACGTGTGGCAAAATTGTGAAGTGGCTGGTTAGTTATACTGATCTGGAAATTGTCCCACAGACTTAGCTCTTCTCACAGGCAGAATTCAAGTTCCAAATTCAGGGGGTGGGGGAGTTGGTAGGAATATTAATTTTGACAAGGGATCTATGCAGTGTTCTGCAGGCCAGTTATTAGCAGAAAAACCAGGCCTGATGGGACCTTGGCTATTTGTTCATCCAGAAATAAAGCTAATGATCCAGAGCTCATCTGCTGGTGGTCTTTCTGCATATATTTACTATCAATCAAGCTGCTAATAGTTAAAAAAATTAGTGAAAGTATATTCTAAAATTCTGTTCCACTTGTGCTATTTTACTTGTCCACCTTCAGACCGTGTGATGCTGGTAAGTAGCATAGCTTTGTATTCAATTCTCATGCTGAGGTACAGCAACATGATCACTTAAATATTAGTATTTAACATACTATTTTTGAAGATAATGAAGTCTAAAAAGACTCATGGTCTGGATTTTAGCCTATAGTATTTTTGTCCCCATGAGTTATTCATATTAATCTCATCAATCTGATTTAATCTGGGATATTCACAAATAACATACCTTAAAAGAATTCTTTCCAAATATCTAACAATATACTGCTAGTCGAATAATTAATCTTCTAAGGCATCTTTCCCTATTCTGTCAGCAATTAGGTATCTGAGGCAAGCCTATAGTCCATGCAGCTGGTTAAGAAAGTGAATTTAGTTTTTGACTTGGAATCAAACCATTACCCAGATACTAGTTGGATACACTAAGAAAATAATTGCAGGCAACTCTCAGTTAAGCATTTTTCTTAAACAACAAACTCAGGTCTGTCTAGGAAACACTGAAAAATAATTCATTTCACATTTCCAAATGGCTCAAGCTATTAAGCAGTACTGCAAAATGCTGGAAGACAAGACCAACATAGTAAGATAAGAAGCAAAATGGCACGTTAAGAAAATATATTTAAACCACAATGTGATTTATTTTATCAGAACCTTACAATAAACTGGAAACAAGTTTTAACACAGCTGGAAACAAAGCTGGAGAGAACAAAGGAGAAAGAAAGGGAGAGCAGGAGCTTTTCAGAGGAAGAAGAGAGGATTCTGAAAATGTCAATGGAAAGAGAAACTTGGGAGAAACAAACTTTTATCAGTTTTTCCAAGCATCAACTCCTATTTAAATTCAACGAGATTCAAGCTATTTTGAGGATTATGGCCATATATATTATAGTTTTCCTGGCTTCTTCCTCTCTTGGGCGCTCAGCTGTTAAGTCTTGCTGCTATTATTATTCCCCATCATTAACAGCTGCCCTGCTCCACAAGAAGGTGAAATCTACTGACAACTAGGTAGTACCATGTATATATTAACAGTCAATAGATTTTGAGAACTGTCATAAACAGAGGATAGTAACTCTCACTCATGAACTCTGACAGTGATTCTGTTGACTCAAGACATCTTTTGCTTTCTGCACATTTTTTGGCTATGATCCAGATATTTGAGGTTATCACGTAAGTATCCTCTGACAGGTGATGTATCTATTCTTTTAAAATAACATAAGTATGGTATAATTCCCTCATAATTACTTCATATAATAATAAGTCTTACCAAGTGCAAAGATGAACTTTCTCACAACCTACCTCCAAATTCAAGAATTACTTAACTGCTTTACAGCAAAAAAACTTTCGATTCATTTCATCAAAAGGAATCCATTAAAGTTCATTTTCAAAACGCAGGGATATAAGTCAGCAAATGTTACCCTCTCAAGGAAGTTTTTTCTACCCTCAAATTCGCAGAAAAATCATAAAATGAAAACATAGGTGGACACAAATGGATTATAAAGCCATCTTTTTAACAATAAAGCAGCTCACCACATAGTCCACAAAGACCAAGTAAATAATATCAAACTCAAATATCTTGATAAGATTACTTCATAGTATATATTTTACTATTATATATAATTATTATATTATAAAGCTTAATTTCACTCTTCTCACACCATTTTCTATACAGTTTACATACTTACTCTCCATCAAATAGATTTGGTTTGATAAATTGGTAATCATTTAAAAATGACCTTGCTTAAAATAAGAATTAGAATCTATGATTCAGAATCTCTTAAACAGCAGGATCTAGGTTAAAACGCTAGCAGTCACCTTGCTCTACTATTTATTATCTTCACAGCAAATATACCCCTTAAGGACCTATATTTTCATACTTACATAAAACATTCAAACAATTACATAAGCTAAACAGTGAGACATTTAACAACAAATTTAATAACAAATCTCACAGTGCTCTCACATATGCATCAAGTGATGATGTTTTCCCAATCAGCTCACTGAAAAAAACACCAACCTAGATTTTTTAAAATGTTAACAGCAATATCAATCTTCTTTCCTTAGTAAGAAAATGTTTATACAAAAGTATGACTCAGCTGAAGTGCAAAGTACCTTTCAGTGGGCATGTAACTGAAAAAAAAGAGTAACTTCATTCATCTGAATTAAGAATTAAAGAAAAATTAAACAATTATATGTTCATGACCCCAATGACACATACTTCTAAGTATATGCTCTGGAATAAATGAACACCTATCTCTATTAAGAAGAAATTCCAAGCCTTTTCTAGTATTAGAAATGACTAAATCAATCCAAAACTAAAAGGGGAAACACCATTTTCTTTTAAACAAAACTTTCCTTTTTAAGTGGATTAGTCTCATTTTTTTGTTTGTTTTTTTTTTGGTACCTTTGAAAATTCTTCAGGTTCCTTTATATCTAATGACCGTGTTGCAAATTCTAGAAGTTCTTCTGAGTTCTCCAGTGCATTATTACATTGACTAAGCTGATTCTAAAAATAATAATAATAACAATAATAAATCATTAAAAAAGAAGTTCCTATTGTCATTAGAAGCTTAAATATATAGTTAGAATGAATGTTACAATCTTAATAGCAATAATTGAACAAACATATTTTAGAGAGGTATTGAAGCAAGGTAATCACTAGCCATATGTAGAACAAATTTTAATTATCCTAAAAACTTCCATAATTTGTCCAGAATAGCTTAACTGCATACAGATAAAGATATATTCATCACTTAAAAACACACATTAAAAAAAACATAGCAATTATTAATAGCTGGGGTCAAATTTACTTAAAAATTCTTCTTATCATAAGGGTAGTCAGAAAACTACCAACAATTTAAATTAAAATATCAAAATAATCCATCTGCAGACAACATCCTCTATAATGAAGACTAAATTTCTTGATATTTACCAAAGCTAAAGTTCATCAGGTACCTTCAGTAGAGCACAATCTTGGTACTCCATTTATCGTATTACTTAAGAATACATACTGCTAAAATGCTAAGTTATGGTTTCCAAAAGTGGATAACACAGGAATCACAAATGCAAGTCCCTAGATTTCCATAAATCAAAGAGGAACAAAAGATAACTGTTAACAGTGATGTGCTCTGTTACAGTGATGCGTTAATTTCACCTAACACAATCTTTCTTATTCAGTTCTCTCTCTCCCCACCTCTCCACCTCTTCTCACTTTATCATTTGTAGGTTTAAAACTATGCCTAGCTATATGAAAATACTGTTAGTGATACCTTTAAACAAAGAAATGGATCCATTCCTGTGTTTTTAAGTGTATTCAAGATTTTTCTTCAGAATATTTATTATTATCTATTCTATATTCAAATCTACTTAGTTTTCCCTTAAGATACGCATTAAAGATAAATTATATCTCATTTTATTGGTTTCGGATGTATCCTATTGTACTTTGGAAAAATAGTTCAAAGTTTAGGTTAAAAGAGGTTTTTATGTGTCATTCTAAGAACCCAACTACAATTTCATAAAAATATTACTCTTCCTATGGCTAAACCTAAAGAATTAACAAAACACCATTTGAAATATCCCATTTGTAGAAGGGCTTAATAAAAGGCTTATGCAAAATCACCAAGAATAAAATGGTACGTATAAATAAATGGTCTATACAGGATCACTAGGACAGAGTTAAGTCAAAGTAGCATAAAAGTGAAAAAGAACAAGAATAAAGAATATATTTCAAGGAACTATTAAAGTAAAAAACTCAATCTGAAGTCAAAGTTTGAAGTAAAATAGTATCTTAGTTTAAGAAAGTGCTATGAATTTTTTTTGAAGTCAAGAGGGAAAGCAAAAAAAAAAGAACAAAGGAATACAACTTAAAGAGCACTTAGTTATTCAGAGGAATTGTTAAAATATCTTAATGAAAACAACATGCTATTGAGTTTGTAAACCCAAAGAAAGAACAAAGATGCTCTATTATCTCCAACTAAAGAAGGAAATGGCATCAGTAACCAAGTGGTGATTCTTTCTAATACTTGGTTTATAAACTATCCCAAGAAAGCTTAATGGTTTGAGTTACCATTAGGCTGAGATCACCATAGCTTTTCCTTTGAATCATAACACAAGAACATCCTGAAGAATGAAGTCATTTTATGTTCACAAAGCTTATGTCTGGGTCTTATTTTACAACCTAATGTCCCTTCAATATCCTTTGATCTCCCCTAGATCACCATTCCTATTAAAAAACTGAAAATTTTTGTGGCATTGAAAAGAAAAGACAAATATTAAGAATTACAAAAGATAAGATAAAAGGAGGGAAAAAAATGGAATCACTGAGGAAAAAAAGGAAGATCTGATGTGATGATACCAGAAGAAAAGATGGTGCTAACATCTCTGTAGTCTTCACTTTCAATGAGTATTTAGAACTCTATTTCTCCTATTTTTGCAACACTCTGAATCCTCCCATCAATATTCACAGCTAATGATGAATTTGATAAAATACTTGATCAAAAAATCAGAGTAATGTCATCTTATTTAAAAACAGCCCAAATGCAGTTGAATGGAAGACTTCCATGAATCAAATCAGTTGCAAATATTTATATTTATTTATTTATTTATTTATTTATTTATTTATTTATTTATTTATTATCATTGTAATTAAGAGTCACAAAACCCAAAGTGGACAAAGTTCATCTGAGATTCCATGAGAAAAAGAGTTTAAATGAATTTATATGACCCAATTATTTATTACTGGGAATTTAGTGAAACTAGAAATGTAAATTCAATAGTTTACAAGAGCAATAAATGCAGCCTGTTCTAAGAAGAGCACTATCGATTTTACATATTCACACACATATATCCAGCTCTGTACAGGGCTGCCAGAAAATAAGTTCTGATACGAAAATATCACACTTCTTCTGGAAGTCTAAAGACATATTTTAAAAATCCAAAAATTTTTTTTGGGCATAGGTGGGCAAAAAAAAAAAATCACAATGGATAGACTATCTAATTCTGAAAATGTCAAATATCCTGACTTTACAAAGGACAGCATTCCTAAATATCAAAATCCACACACAATGATATTAGATCTCTCCTCAAAATCAGCAGTGACATGGCCTAAAGATGATTCTAAGACTCTTTCAGACTTTTGATCTGATTATGTTAACAACTGAACCACCTCTTATCTGAAATATCCTCTCTCAAAGTGCTTCAAATAAGTTTCTAAGAATTGTTCCTCAATTCAATTCCTTTCATGATCCCTCTGTATTACGTGCAGCTGTATGGTATTTACATTAACATTATTCTTAAATAAATTATATCTTATATACATTTTTGCTTACTCCTATAAATTCTAATCTGGCAGAGGATTTGCTTTCCTTTCTTTTCACTTTTCTTTATGGTAAGCATAACAACACATAATGAAGATAATAAAATAATTTTTAAAAATCCAATGATAATTATGACTTCAATGTCTAATAATGCTTTTCCAAAGTCATTATCATAAGAGCTTCATCTCCAATGTCTGTAAATTTTGAGGAGAGAAAGGGAAAATAGAGAAAGAGACCTAAGAGAAGCTGATTAGTAAACTGCCATTATTTTAAAAACTAGTAATATAATAAGACACATGATTCACATAGGACAAGTAGAAAGTATTTTCTAAACACAAGTGGCAAAGTTCCTACTCTAAAGAAGGATGTTAATAGTTCGATTTTATTTAGCCAATTGCAAGTTTTTAAAAATGTGTCTATTCGCTGCTTCTATCTCCCCTATTAACAATGCCAGAAAAATAAACTGCATGCACAGTTAAGCAGAAAGAAGATGTCAACAAAAATATAGGCACCAACCAGGTATTTGGAATTTACAGGTAAGAGAAAAGGAAAATAATATCAGCAGTATTGGAACATCACTCACATCAGGGATAGTTAGAGGTGGGAGATAAAAACTTAATGCACATTCCATATGCATGAGATTTTTGTCACTTGAAGAGGAAAAAGTAGCAAAAATAGGACTCAAGGTCATTTTGGTAGCAGATTTAACATGTGGCACAGGCTAGGCTGACAGAAATGGTGGCTGGTGAACACAATAAAGATGAAGATAGTGAGAGCCGTGCTAGCAGAGAAAAAGTATGAGGAGAAAGAAAGGAAAGCTGCAGATTAAGTAACGGAACACTCTAATGGTATTCCAAACCGCTGCTGCGAAGGATTCGGGTCAAGACAGGATAAAAATCTGCACAGGACAAGTTGCAGGTGAGATTTTCAGAAGACGCTGAGTTTTCCTTTTTTCTCCAATCTTGTTTTTTAAATGAGTGAATTTATTTATGAAATTTATGGATATTTTATGACTAAATTAATTACCTTTGAATGATTTAAGTACATTTGACCCTTGAACGAGGGGTTAATTCATATATAATTTAGAGTCGACCGTCTGTATTTGCAGTTCCTCAACATTCAATGATTCAACCAACCAAGGACTGTGTGGTACTATAGTATTTACTACTGAAAGATATCAGCTCATCAGTGGACCCTCACAGTTCAAACCCACGTTGTTCAACTCTAATACAACTGCCACCTCCTAAATATAAACAAGAAATCTCAACCTGGAAGAATGGACAGATTTGAAAGGGTATTTAACCCTTGGAAACTGTGTGTATAAGACAGAAATAGAATGTTTGTGTTCTTCCATAGCTTTCAGATTCTTAAAGACATCTGTGACCAAAATTCACACACAAAAATCAGTTGCATTTCTATACACCAACAATGAACAATCCAAGAAGGAAATTAAGAAAACAGTCCCATTTACAATAGCATCAAAAAACAATGAAATACTCTGGAGTAAACTTAACCAAGGAGGCAAAAGACCTGTTCACTGAACACTACAAAACACTGCTGAAAGAAATTAAATACACAAGTAAATGTAAAGACACCTGGTGGTCATGGATTGGAAGACTTACTATTGTTAAAATTTCTCTACTACCCAAAGCAATCTACAAATTCAATGCAATCCCTATCAAAATTTCAAGGTACCCCCATGTTTACTGCAGCATTACTCACAACAGCCAAGAGATGGAAGCAGCCCAAATGTTCATAGACAGATAAACAGATAAAGAAAATGTGGTATATTTATACAATGGAATATTATTCACCCATAGAAAAGGAAATTCTGGCACTTGCTACAAGATGGATGAACTTTGAGGACGTATGCTGAGTGAAACAAGCCAATCACAAAAGGGACAAATACTATATGACTCCACTTATGTAAGTTATCTAGAGTAGTCAAAATCATGGAAACAGAAAACACAATGGTGGTTGACAAGCAGTGGAGGAAGAGGCAAATGGGGAGTAGTTTAACCGGTATAGTTTCAGTTCTGCAAGATGAAAAAAGTTCTAGAGACCTGTTGCACAACAATGAGAATATAGTTAATACTACTGTACATTTAAAAATGGTTAAGACAGTAAATCTTGGGGGTTTTATTACAATTTAAAAAAAGGTATCTATGACCAAAATAAAGTTAAGAATCATTCCTCTACTAGATATAAGCACAGTTATGCACAAAAATTCACTAATTTTTGCTTTCAATAGATCAAGCACTATACAGACTAAAATTATTCATATTTAAATAAATAGTTGTATGATCTCACCTGTAACTCTTGTGATTTACGAGCTTGTTCCTGCTTGATACTGTTAATCATACTTTCTTTTACCTCATCCAATATGGTGTATAAACTATCAAATTCTTCGTCTAACTCTGAAAGTATGTTAGAAGAATTTTCCTGTTTAATAAACAAAGATTTTACTGAAAAGATGTCAAACATTAAAAAACTAAAAGATACAGTATTTATCAAAGGAGAAAATAGATTCATATTATGAACTACCTCAGCCTAACATCAGAAAATAACAAAATTCTAGTATTTGACATAAGGCTTTAAAAACAGATCAATCCAAGAAGCTGGCTGCTAATGCTGGTAGTTCTATTTCAGCAGCGCTATGAGTTAAGTAGCCCTTTATGAACTAGCCCATACTCTCCTCACCTTTTATAATACCATTTCCACAGGACAATGTGAAAGGTGGTTTTTAAGGTTGTCAACTTTGTCCAGACCTTTAGGCTCTAAGGCAGACCCTAAGCCAGTGGTTCTCAACCTTTGGTGTGCATCAGAATCATCAGTGAAGCAGATTTAAAAAAAAATACTCCACAGATTTTAATTCTGTAACTCTGAGGAACAGTCTGGGCATATAGGGATGGGGCTGGTGTTGTGCAAACTTTTTCATCTTTCAGGTTGTCTAAAACACTGCATTTACATAAGATAAGCAGAACTTAAAAGGCTAAGCAATTTCTTACTGGATCCTAAGAGGTTTATCACACACTGAATTTCAGTGCTAGAAGGAACCTCAGAAAATCATCTACTGACTAGAATTTGTAGTCAAATTTCTAAATTTTATAAACTAAAATACACATAAATGACTTGCTCAAAGCCACACAGTTACTGTGGCAGAATCAATGAAGTTACTGGTTACTAATGGCAGAATCAATAAAACATTTCAAGTCTGCTGACCTCTTAGATTCTCTCACTGCCTCATTAAGCAGGATACTGCTATTTCAACACGAAATAACAAAACATCTGTGAAAACCCTAGATAAGTGATATCCACACTGCAACAATTATGAGACAGAAGAAATTACCTTAAGGCATTTTTCAACATAGATGAATCATTCAATTAAAAGAAGCAGAACTGGCACGGGCTTAGAGAACTAATACAATACAATCAATACATACAATCATAATGCATAATCATAATCCAAACTTTTGCTTATAATGTTTGTAAAAACCAGACATCATCTCACCGGAGTCTTACTGAAAGTGGTGTTAATCATTTTACTAGTTTCTTTACAGTAGTAACACCATGCTGTGGGAGGAGAAATGTCAGTCTGGAAGGCAGGAGACCTAAGTCAAATTCTACATTAACTATTCTGTAATGGTGTGACCTTGGACAAGCCACTCAAATTCCAGGACCTCAGTTTTTTCATCTGTAAAAAGGAACTGGACTACTCTTTTCCCCTTCAATGACCAATTGGCACACGCTTACAGTCTCTTACCCATTACATCTTATGCTCCCAACTTCAGTGACATGGGTGTAGGTTAATCAACCGCCCTCAATTTTTTGCTGGATGCTCAGGTAACGTCCTAATAATTTATCAATCAGAAAAATAGTTTGAGATAGCTCTATCTTAAGGTCTCTTTTTCTAGATGTCAAGTGGGATGATTCTCTTGTTCATATATCAAGAGTTTTAGAACCACTAGCTTTGCTTATTTAAAGAAAGTGGATTCATGGATTTACCAAATTTTCCAATAAAACAATTCAAGAAAGACAGTTAAAGTGGTGAAGGTTATAATCAACTAACTTCAATTACAGCAAATTCAGAAGTAAAGAAAATACAAGACCATAAGGTTTAGCAAGAACCAGGCAATTACCCAGGTTGAACCAAACAAAAACCATAGGAAACGATTCACTGTCTACAAGTGTTGTACAAATCTTCTTTGTTTATTTTACAAACAAATGGCCCTCAAATTAATAAAGGCACATCCATGGGAAAGCACCACCAACTTATCTTAAGGTCCCTTCCACAATCAACATTTGATTATTTACAATGTGGATTATCCGTCTAAACATGGGACCATTTCCCCTCTCTCCTCGTTGGCACTTTCCCTTTTACTTTTGTATTTTACTTTCATCCAGTTCTGTAAGTACTGGATATAAATGGCACTCTGCAAGTACTATCTACATTTTCTGTCTACAATTTTATTTACTGTAAAAAAAAAAGTTTAGTGTCCCAGTGCTTTCAGAAAGGTACAATTTGCTCTTAATTGGAATTAGAAAAGAACAAACAGGAAATGGAAAGGAATAAAAGTGAGCATTATAATATTCCTAGCAACCACTACTCCAGAGTTTTCTTTTTCCATTACTATTTGATCTTTCCATAGAGAATGCAGTAATAGCAAAGAAAGCATTTTTATTTATCTGCCATTTGAAAACCTTGCTATCACCTCTATTAGTTTATAATCGTTGATGGTGTATATATTTACATGTCTGATTAAACCCAACAATCATTGATTGTGACATATGTACACAAACTTTTCAAAAACAGATTCCTACCTGAACTCCTTTTAGTGTCTGATTTAGTGTATCAATAAAGTTCTGAATTTCATCATTTTTATTTGCCAGAGTTGAAATGATCCTTTGTAGAGCTTCCTAGGATTAAAATAAATTAAACGTTATGATATTTTATTAAAAGAGAATTATAATCTTCATAACAATTCTCTGAACAAATCCTTTATGTAAGAGTATATTATATAATAAATAGGACCAATTGTTCATTGAGCTCATTGTTCAAATTTTCTGAAGGCTCTAATTACAAAAGATGGGATATGTATTTGCACGGTTTTAAAACCTCTTATTTCCATTGTTCAACGTAACCACCACCATACCTTTCACACTGAAGATGATCAGTATTATTTAATATAAAGTTACTTTAGGTCATAAGGCCATGGCAAAGGAACAGAATCAAATCCTTAAGTGTTGCAAACACAAATGGAAACTTCTGATCGACATCAGGATATGAAGAATAAAAGCAGAGACACTGAAATCTGACATTTTATTTATTTATAAAAATGGAAAACATTATATTCTAGAAATATGAAAGTAGATAATAAGTTTGCAGTTAAAATCACAACATTCATTGCAACATTTACAGATGCTACAGAACCACAATAAGGTAAGCAATTTTGGTAGCAAATACCTCAGACTTTTTGACAATATTTCCTTTTTAAATAAAACACTAGACTATTTAATTTTCTCGTATTCTCTAGTTCAGCGCTGTCCAATAAAATTTCCTGCTATATTGGAAATATCCTAAATATGTGCTGTTTAATATGGTAGTACTAGCCACACGAAGCTACTGGGCTCTTGAAATGTGGATAGAGCAACTGAGAAAGTAAATTTACTTCTTTTTAACTTTAATTAATTTCACTTTTTATTGCCATATATGACAAGTCCTGTAATACTGGACATCACGTCTAGCTGTTTAATAACTCTTCATGGGTAGCAAAATCCAAACAAGGTACCTGTATTCTCAGTAAAAATCAAAAACAAGTACTTTTACTTTGTAATTTTCCTAGAAGCACAGGCCTTATTTCCGTAAGCACCTACAAGCATAAATATTTTAATAATTTCCTATGAGATTCTGTGTAATAATGGTTCTCCTCAAAATATAATAAAAATAAAAGGCTAAATATAAAAAGCTCAGGAAATAATCTGATAAAGGGATAATATTTCATATAAATGTTCATAAAGTATTATAGTAATAAAAATTAAAATAATTACTGCTCTCATTTAATTCTCAAAACAATCCCTGGAGATAAGTAGGTATTATTACCATCCCTGAAGCGGCCTAGGGCTCTCTGCTGTATTCACTTACCTATACTATTTCTTTCCATCCTCACTGCAGGTGTTATTTTAGTATAATAACACAATGAAGCTATGCTATGAAAGACCGACACCAAGAGTTAGCTTTTTATCCTGTTGGTGTTCCCCCAGAAACAGGTACACCAAGATTAAATACAAAGACAGCGGGCAGAATGAAGCCAGTACCTGGGAGAGGGGTGGGCACAGCTGGAGGGACGACGGTACAGAGCGGTACAGAGATGCAGAAAAGGAGAGCACGGGGCTTAAGAGTTGTTCAAGTATTCATCCAAGATAGGCCCTCTGCGTATTTTAAATTTTTTTAATTAATTTTTTTAATGGAGGTACTGGGGACTGAACCTAGGACCTTGTGCATGCTAAGCATGCACTCTACCACTGAGTTATACCCACTCACCTCTCTGTATATTTTAAAACAATACAATCCAACAGTAAATATGGTTCTGCCAATCCTCGGCCTGTGTATAGTACGCTTCAATTAAGGCTGGGCTCCTTCAAGTTAATGGACTATCTGCCTCCCCTTCCATCCCTCCTAATGGCAGGATAACATTCATACTATACACATAGGAAAACAGATTCATTCAGTTGCCCAAAGTGACACTGCTAGAAAGGTAGAAATTATGCTCAATCTGTCTCCAAAGTCATGCTCTAGAATACTGCCTCTAAACCTAACTAATTTGCCCATCATATGAAACACCCATAAAACAAATTGTACATTGTTTCAAAAATTAGGTTTGTTAAGGCTCTTTAGTGACATATAAAACCACTGGAATTTTCATGGAGAATCACAGCTTGAGCTAAAGCTTTGCTCACTGATAGGCAAATCTAGTGAACTTCAAGGTACAGATGATAACACTCTATCAGAACAGCGGTTAAGGAGTCTTGTGCAAGAGATCTTGAAAAGGAGGAGCCAGGCCCAGTGAATTCAACCCAATAACAAAATTTGAATCACCACAATATATGTCAGTTTAATAAAAACTGAAGGAAACTTCACCAGAAAACTATAGAATATTGGTATATAATAAAAGGCAGACCTAGTCCAAAGCAAAAACAAAAACAAAAACAACTTCCTAGCATAAAATAGCTTTTCACTTTATTTTTTGTTCTAAATTTAGTAGCAAAGTATATTTGGAGAATTTTGCAGCAAAGAATTCTTTAGAAATAGCTGAAGCATACTGTCCCAGCTGGGTAAGCCCTAAGCTCCAAAAAGTTTAATAAGAAGCCTCTCGACCTTTTTAAAGCTCCTGCCATTTACTGAGTTTTGTCAAAGACATCTAAGTGCTCTAGTTTTTATTAGGTCTTCAAGCTAAATCCTTTATATCTTGAGTTATGCACCTATTGAAAAGTGAAAAGAGTCTGTTCAGTGACATGAGTGGGCAGAACACACCCCTTATCAACTGCAATATCCTCATTGTCCTTAAAGCTACACCACTCAATAGAAATATAATGAGAGCCAATAGCATCTATATCAAAAAGTAAAAGAGACAAGGGTGACATTAATTTTAATATTTTACTTAACCCAACTGATCCAAAATATCATTTCAACATGTAATATTTAGCAATTATTGAGTTCATTCCTTCCTTCTTTTTGGCACTAAATCTTCAAAATCCAATGTGTATTTTACACTTACAGCACATCTCAGTTCAAATTAGCCACATTTCCAGTGGTCAATAATCACATGTGGCTAGAAGTTACATACAGGACAACATAGCCTTAGCGACCTATACCATCCAAATAGTCCATATATTTCTAAGAGTGGGGATAGGGCAAAGATCATATATTGATCTGCTCAATTTGCAATGAATAATAAACAACCTAAAAACTTTTGGAACTTTTTTTCTTGGAACACCAGAATTTCCATACATATTTATATTATATCAGATTCTTGAATTATAATAGCTGTATGTGGATATAAGTTAACATTACAACCAAGTTCCTTGACCAGAATGTCACTGATTTCTCAGTTTTCAATTATGTGAATATTATGTCTAGAAATGGAAAGTTAATATTATAATACTACCACCTCTCAAAAAAAAATTGGTGCACAGACAACACTTCTTTGGGATCCCTCTGATACCTTAAGAAAAAGAAATACACTCTTCTCTAAAACTTATAACGCTCACTGTTTTTGGTTATAAAAGGCTTTGTGGGGATCACAAAGAGTACAAAGATCTATAACAAGGGTGGCTTCTGACAAAAACGAGACTGCACCTGAGGACAGCCAACATGCAGGTTCTACAAAGAATCATCAGGATAATGCTGTTTTCTGTGTATGGTACAACTCCATACCTCCAAGAAATAATACCCTTAATCTTATCTTTATCATTCCCCTTTAATTCATTCAAAATTCTGCTATTACTAGAGAATGACAGGTGACCCTTCCCAAATTGTATTGGCCCCAAAAGTATTAATAGCAATCCATCTGGAAAGAAATCCTACCACCTGTGTTAAAAGCTTTTGGAGGAATGGTATTCTGTATGAATTTTCAAAGGCTTTAAAAATATTATACTTTCCCAGTAAATGGCTGGGAAGAAAAGGTATTTAAAGGCTGATAAAGTATTTCAGGGAAACATCATCTCATTCTTTGAAGACAGAATGCTCTATGGCTCACATTTCGAATTTAACTGAGAGTTCTAGCACAGCATGAGGGTCTATCACAGAATACCCATACCCTAAGAAAGGCAGCTTTCCTTACCATCCAAATAACCAAGACTTAAGGCTGAGACTCTCGGGGTACTACTCTAACCTCTAGGTGGGAGAGCTTCGAATCTTTACTGAATATATACCACTGAGATGCTCTAAGAACGGACAAGCCAGCTGAAGAGGGCTCTGGGGCCTCAATGTTTAAGATCACCTTTATTTTCACAGCTACCAAATGCATTAGTAAACACAGCTGCAGAAGCAGCAATCATCCAGATGAGCAAGAGTCAGAACCCAAACAATCCAAGACAACCTTGGTAGCTAATACAGAAAAAGTGCTGCCTCTACTCTAATCTTTCCTAAGCCTAGAAGAAAAAAAGGGGAGGGGGCAGTATCCTGAAGGTTCCCCAAGGGCAGCCAGCTGAGATGAGGGTTTCAGAAGCTCTGAAGCCACCTGCCCTTTTAATCTGTTGTGGAGAAGATGTACAAATACAAAAGACTGTAATCAAGAGCTCACATGTAGTGTTCTGCTATAGTGGAAGTTCATCGGGAGGGCTGAGAAACAAATCAGGAAGGGGACCGGGGCTTCAGCCATTCTGGCCCTCACAAGGTCAGCGACTGGCCAGGCCTCAGGTGGAAACGGCATAATGATAGAGAGAACTAAGGACTCAGTAGAAGTGGAAACCAAATTACTAGTAACCAAAATACTTAAGACAAACTACCACCTACACCAAAACTTTTAAAAACTAAAGGATGAGGATTACATGAGCTGAGTTCTAATAAAACTTAACCCTAGCTTGTGTATGTGACAAGGGGCTTAAGTTCTCTCTAGGAGGTAAGAGTTAGGGAAGAGGTGTCTACAGGGATACTGTGTGCCTAATACAGGAGGTATGCAGGGGGAGGCAAGTCCAGTAGAATTTTTTAAAGTATTTTCTAAATATGGCATACAACATACCAGGGCAGGATAAGAAACTCAGAGAAACAGGCAAAAGAAGAACTAAAAAAATACCATAATACATGGAGTCTTCTACCCGACACTATCCTCCATGGCCTCCAAATTCAATCACTAGCTTTTATAATGGAGACACAAATAACTGATAAAGAAGTTGAGGGGGAAGTGCAAAGCCAGAATGTGATACAAGCTGAGTATGAGCACCATCAGACACAGCACCTATTCTCTGAGCTCCAGACCCTTCTACTCCAACTGCTTACTTGAAACCTCCACTTGGATGTCTCATAAGCACTTCAAACCTCAACATGTCATAATGTCCTCCACTAAACCTGAGCCCTCCCTAGTGCTCTATCTCTGCAAAAGGCACTACCAACTGCAAAATCAGAAACCTAGTGACTCAACATCAAAAACAAAATCCTGGGCAGAGGACCTGAATAGACATTTTTCCAAAGAAGACATACGGATGGCCAACAGGCACATGAAAAGTTGCTCAACATCATTAATCATCAGGGAAATAAAAATCAAACATACAGTGAGATATCAGCTCACATCTGTCAGAATGCCTATTATCAAAAGACAACAAGTAACAAGCTTCAGAGAGGATGTAGGAAAAAAGGAGACCTCGTACACTGTTGGCGGGAATGTAGTTTTGTGTAGCCACTATGGAAAACAGTACGGAGGTTCCTTCAAAAATAAAAAATAGAACTACCATACAATCCAGCTATTCCACTTCTGGATATTTATCTGAAAGGAAAACACTAATCTGAAGAAAATGAAAATAACTAATTCAAAATGACAAATGCACTCCTATGTTCACTGCAGCATTTTTCACAATAGCCAAGTTACAAAATCAACCTAACTGCCCACCGATAGATGAATGAATAAAGAAAGATGTGAGATAAATACACACACACACACACACACACAATGGAATATTACTCAGCCATAAAAGGCATGAAATCTTGCCATGTGCAACAACATGGATGGACCTTGAGGGTATTATGCTAAGTGAAATAAGTCAGAGAAAGATAAATACCATATGATTTCACTTATAAGCAGAATCTAAAAGACAAAACAAATGAACAAACATTATAAAATAGAAACAGTGTCATAGATATAGAGAACAAACAGGTGGTTGCCAGAGGAGAGGGGAGCAGGGAGGCAGGGGAAATAGGCAAGGGAAATTAAAAGGTAAAAACTTCCAATTAAAAAATAAATGAGTCTCAAAGATAAAATGTACAGTGTGAGGAATGTAGTCAATAATAATGTCGTATCTTTGTATGGTGACAGATGGTAACTAGATTTATTGTGATTTTGTAATTATAGCAATATCGCATCACCATCTTGTGCATCAAGAACTAACAAGCACATCAATTATACTTTACAAACAAATTCATAGAAAAAGAAATTAAATTTGTGGTTAC